GCTTGACATACATAAGCTGCAGCAGCAAGCGGACTATGTGACTTTGTAACCATAACACCAGTGACCTATGTAAATCGATGTCTGCTTTCAATTAATACTGTAATTTCGTCACATTTTTTGCTTATTTCCAGATTTTTTGTGTACAAATGGGGAGTTCAAAGGCGTAGGCCCATTTCCCTCAAATACACTGACCGACGGACTGACTGACTGCTACTTTTTACGTTTGGTGACCCAGCAATACGCTGGAATATTCCCTATATTTGCCCGTCATCTATCATGTCGTTCATACCAGAGTTTCCTGCTTTGGTGCACACTGTGATACCTGATCATTTGAGAAAAGTTTATGGGGAAACTGTGTCACCTGAGACTTGACATTCACAGATCTTTGCAATCAATCCCACGTAGTCGGCGGACGCCTGCATACCTGATTTGTTCAGGCCGAATTAAGATTTTATTACGCTACTGCTAAAAGTCTCGTTTCGAAAATTGATGAACTTAAGACGCTAGCTTTTGAATAAAGCCACAACGGAAACGCGACTTACTGTTGAATTCGCAGATACAGAGCTTTCCTTGCAAGAATACCGGCTCTTTCGAAAAGGTCGTCAAACTAGACAGGATGATAGGATTTTCGTATATGATGGGACGGAAATTTCGGCGGTTAAACGGCCCCCCTGCACCTTCTTGGATTTTGTTTCGTGGGGATAAAGACAAGAAGAGTAATTCACAAAACCCAGTATTCCTGACAGCTTATACTCCACCAAACCTTTCGAGCGCAGCTGACAAATTGCTCATGAATTTGGTCAAGGGAGTTGCCAGTCACCAATCTGTTCTTATTGCAGGAGATTCAAACGCATTTGCAAAAGACTGAAAAACTTGGTAGTTGAGGTTGCGCAGTTTCCTTCAACTGTGAGCTTAATTAAGCTTCCACTCGACCAATTGCTGGCACAGCACGTAAAGACGTCAAGAGTTAGGGAGAACGAGATAACCGATTGCTTCGACTTAGTTTTCATGAATGACTAGCTGGACCCCGCCACGCGTTGCTGTGGCTCAGATGAATTCAAAAGCTCTGTTCGATAATTAACCTGCTTCGTCTGCTTCCAAAACAGTGTCGACGGACGAGTATGTGACTGTCTCGCTTTGAATCTTGGACTGAATAATGTGGCTAAGATGGTACACGTGTTTGTTTTTGGCCGCAAGTATAGCTCGTTCGCTCAATCAGCCGGGATTGTTGAAAGTGATCTGAATAGTGGTAGACACCGTCTCAACCAATTCCTCTTTTGAGGACAGTAAATTTCCGAGGCTAAGACGTAGGAAAATCATTCTTGTAGTCGGATCGGCGTGCACCGTTGCATACCCAATTTCCGGCAATTACTGTGAGAATACCTCAGTCGGATCAGCGTGCACCGTTGCATTCCCAATCGCCAGCAATTACTGTGAGAATACCTCGGTGGCTTGGAAGTCACCAATTCGCATTCGTACGGTGCCAAGTTGCCGAAGTCTTCCGCTGATCGTTTTCGGTATAAGGAACTTCTGTCGTTACCGGCAAATGTGATGCATACGAATGCCCGAGGATATTTCTTAGAGCGTTTTCCGTCTATCATACTGGGGGGTGAGGAGTGGGGGGTGAGAATTGGAACTCAGGGCACCGTAAGGTCCATTTATCATATTCTTCGCCGCGACTTCGGGCAAATTAGTGTCGACGTCGGCGTCAGGTAATTCAGCGCATATTGCATCGGCGATTTCGGTGGAGGTGATCTTGTTATAGAGCCAGATCCAGACGTGTTCGTGGGGCAGTCCACTCTTTTGCCATTCCCCCTAATACATCCGGCAGCGCACAGACCCAAACACCTCATTTTTCACCATGAAGTTCATCAGCGATTTCAGTGTCTTACTAAAAAACACGTGCGGTGATGTCATATCCATTCACCGACGATAGCCCAGAAAGTAAGAGCTGATAAATATCCCCCCTAAGCTGGTTTGCAGGTGAATGTAATGAGTAGATCTGGACGCCCCGTACTGACAAACATAAGCAATTGCACCTCCAGCGTACCCGAGCATATGGCGCGGACTCTCTGCGTATGTTGACGACAAAATCGTTAGTCGTATTCCCGTCGTTTACAACTGTATCATGAAGATGAATACATTTTTCAGAGCTCAGCTTGGTCTGCATCAAACGAATGAAAAGCAGGCGTTCAGTTTCGACTTTTGCATACATATCAACAATGTAGAGATGAAGCAATTGACGGCATTTCAAAAGGGGATTACTTACATTCTTTCGAATCATAAGTCGGTAGGAGTAGCGGTTCATTGCGTTGCATTTCATGTGCGTTTCCTCGTCACTGACCGCATTTATCATCTGAACGTTGAAGTGATACCCATCGGCACCATCCCGTAAAGTAAATAGATACTGCGTTGAAATCGGTCTCGGACTGCCGATATATATGGTATCACCTTACTCTAAAATCGATAGTCTTCTAACGCTTGTTGGCGTACCGTCATTCACAACAGCATCACGCAGCGTAAATGCTGATCACCGAGTCGTGTTTGACGCTGGTCTGCTGTTCCTTGCTGGCGCCATTCAGCCACTCTCAGTTTGTTGTCTTCATCCTGTTATGAACGGAGCAGACCTGGAGCTGCCGAACGCGGTGACCGTGACCGCAAGCGGGCTTCCGCAAGCCCGGCTGCACGACACTGGGCTGACACTGGGTGACAGGCACCTTATGTGGGTTGTGCGTGGGGAGGGGGGAAGGGGGTTTTGTTAACCGCATCCAGTCGTCGCGCCCGAGAATCCCAGCGGAAGCGGCGGCAGCCCAATTATGTGGGTAGTGTGGGGCAAGTTAAAGTGGAGCCCAAGAGTTGCGTTTTTTTGCTGCAGGGTGCGTGGTTTGCCTACCGGCCCAGATTGCATCGGCCCAGAGGGGGTGGAAGGCCTGCTCAAGTGTCTGCAGTGTGGGTGGTGGGGTGAGCGCGGCTGTCGAGCGGAGCATGTGCGTGTGAGCGATTGTCGGTCAAGTGGCCACAGTCTGGGCGCACATGTGTCCGCGCGCGATGTAGGTCAAGTGGCCGCAGTAGGTGTCGTTGTTATGCCGGAAAAAATCCAGTTTTTTACTCATCACAGGAGTACCATCGGCATAATTACAAAATTGAACAGACAAAAACCCGGCCCTATGCGTGGGTCGGGTTGTGTCCAAATTTCAGCGAAATCGGTGCAGTACTTTCGGAGATTATATATAACACAGAAAAAAAACCTTCCATATATATATATATATATATATATATATATATACATATATATATATATAGATGTACACAGGGTGACTGACGCAGTAAAGCTGTTCTCTCCTATCCTGTCTGTCTTCTATTCCGCACTGAACTGGCGTCATACTAATTTGGGGATATAACAAGTGGCGATGCAGGTGAACACGCAAAATGATCAGTGAAGAACAGATGCAGAAATCGTTGGAAGCACAGCAAGCCAGCTTTATGGCTCTTCTCGCAGGAATGCAGAAGGACTGGATGCAGACAGGAAACGATGACAGAAGGAAGTGGCTGGAGGACAGGATCACAGAATTCACCTACGACCCTGACGACGGTTTTACGTTTGATATGTGGTTCAGACAATATGAATTACTGTTCGAAAGAGAGGGGAAAAGTCTTTCTGACGGAGAAAAAGTGGAAATTCTGTTGCTGAAACTTGGACGAATGGAACACGAGAAGTATGTCAAATTCGTCCTACCGAAGAAACCGGCCGAGATCGAATTCACGGAGACGGTGAGAAACCTGAAAGCCTTATTCACCTATTCAAAGTCATTGTTTAACAGACGTTTTGAATGTTTTAAATTGGAGAATAGAGTAGACGAAGACTATTTTGATTTGGCAGGCAGACTGAATGATATGTACCAACAGGCTGATCTGGAGCAAGCAACAACAAACCGGGTTAAGGCCCTGTTGTTCATAAAATCACTTACTCTACCGGAGGACGCGGACATACGCACGCGGCTGCTGTCCAAACTGTACCAGGATGGTGAGACGACTGTACAGAAGTTAGCAGATGAATGTTTTAGACTCAGGAACATTAAACAGGATACAAGGTTAATTGCCGAAACAAACATTCAACAGCTACAGGTGTTGGACATTAGGAAAAACTGGCCGCCACAAAGAGAAACATTTCCCAGAAGACCAAAGACTGCCTGCTGGCAGTGCGGTGGATGGCACTATGTCGTCGACTGCCCCTATAAAAAGCAGAAGTGTTTCAAATGTTCGAGATTTGGCCACAAATCGACATACTGCAGAGCAGGACGACAAAGTCCCAGGAAACAGTGCAACGCCGTTTCTGATGGTGAGGCACGGGTGCTAGGCTGTGAACACCGAAAATATCTAACTATGATCATAAATGAGAAAGCTGTCAGGCTTCAAGTGGATACAGCGTCTGATCTAACGATTACAGCGGTAGAAACATGGCTGATGATAGGAGCACCCAGTCTTATCCCAACTCCTGTCACTGCAAGGGCATCAAACGGCACAGAAATGAAATTCAAGGGAAGATTTTCAACTAGTATCGGATTTGGGGATAAAAATTGTCTAGCAGACGTCTTCGTATCGGAGTGTCCGATCGACCTCCTGGGTAAATAAGGCAATCTCCTAGTTGGGGTTATGGAGTCAGCCATTTGACAGAATCTGCTGCGCAGTACAAGAAACGGAACAAAATCTGCGGGAGAAGCATGCAAAAATGATGGAAAAGTCAGTCGGGAAATGTACCAAAACGAAAGCATTTTTACGCATTAAACTAAACAAGAAACCAGTTTTCAGGCAATGTCGTCGAGTTCTGTTTGCAATCTAGGAAGACGTGGAGAAAGAGTTGGAACGTTTACAAGAGAAGGGCATCATCTACCCCACCAATTACTCCGCATGGGCTGCGCCAATTGTAGCGGTTAGGAAGCCAAATGGCAACTTGAGACTGTGTGCTGACTATTCGACGGGATTAAACGATGTTTTGGAGGATTACCACCATCCTCTACCGACGGTGGAGGAAATTTTTGCCAAGTGAAATGGTGGAAAGTAATTTGCACGAACTGATCTTTCAGAAGCCTATTTACAGACTAGCCAGCCCCGGCCACGCGTTGCTGTGGCTCAGGTGAATTCACAATCTTTGTTGGATAATTCGATGTGGATGGGACGTGTTGCACACAACACTAATGCATACATCCCAGTATCGGTAACTTTCCAATAAATTGATAGCCTGGCATGCACAACGTAAAGTGACATGCGTAATGCCGTTGACAGACTTCAATTGCTGGAAAGACGTTGAACCAGACACATTCACCAACACCGTGCGGAGTAAGAAACATTCGTCCCTATTGGGATGCACGTTGTGCACTCTGCCTATCGCAGTTCCGTTGAAGATGCCCAGGTGTGCGTCGACTCGCTCTCGTTTGCGTCATACAAAAGATATTCTACACACAGTCCCTGTGTAATACGTAGGCACTTCCGAATACGGCAGTGTTTTCGCAAACGCGTCAGTTTGGCTTAACGGGAAGAACTCAGTTAATGTGTGTTGCCGGTGGCCTGTTGCACATGTGCATCGGTATAGTAAACGCATTGCCCATTCACTAAGTGTACTGCAAGTAAGCAACACCTGGACTTGCTCATGGATTGTAAAAGAAAGAATCCGCCACACGGCTCTGTTTCTGTTGACGCATATTCCAGCCCCATACTGTGCGATTTCATCAAGTTGTATGTCAACATCCCTTCCCCTCCTTTCGTGTTGCAGGCCAAACCAGCCATGTCACTGCCTTTGCTCGCGTACTTACAAATACACCAAATTCATTTCTCGGAATTGCAGTTTTACACGTTCATGTGAACTTAGCTTGCTTTTAAAAGCACAGTCGAATACGAAACAACCCAGCGTTTACCGACTGGTACGTCACTGGTTTGCATTCGTACGGTTGTCAATTTGCCGATGTCTTCCGCAGATCATTTTCGGTATAAGGGACTTTCGTCTATCATGCCGGGGGAGGGGAGGGGGTTGGAGAATTGGGATTCAGTGCATCCGAGGTCCATGTATCATATTCTTCGCCACAACTTCATGCAAATCATTGTCGACGTCGGCGCCAGGTAATTCAGCGTATATTGCATCGTATATTTCGTTGGAAGCGATCTTGTTATAGAGCCAGATCCAGACATGTTCGTGGGGCAGTGCCCTCTTTTCCTATTCCACCTAATACATCCAGCAGCGCACAGACCCAACCACCTCGTGTTTCACCATGAATTTCATCAGCAGTTGCAGTGTCTTCCTGAAAACACGTGCTGTGATGTCATACCTATTTACCGTCGATAGCCCAGGAGGTAAGAGCTATTGAATATCCCCCCAAGTTGAATTGCATGTGAATGTTATGAGTAGGTCTGGACGCCCCTTTCTGACAAACATAAGCAATTGCACCTCCAGCGTACCCTGCCATATGGCGCGGACTCTCTGTATATGTGGACGACAAAAGCGTTAGTCTTACAACGTTATCTGTATTACCGTCGTCTACAACTGTATCATGAAGATGAATACATTTTTCAGAGCTCAGCTTGGTCTGCATCAAACGAATGAAAAGCAAGCGTTCAGTTTCGATTTTTGCATACATATCCACAATGCAGTGATGAAGCAACTGACGGCATTTCAAAAGAGGATTGCTTACACTCTGTCGTGTAGGAGTAGTGGTTCATTGTGCTGCCTTTCATGTGCGTTACCTCGTCACTGACCGCATTTATCATCTGAACGTTGAAGTGATATCCGTCGGCACCATCCCTATAAGTAAATGGATGTTGCGTTGGAATTGGTCTCCGACTGCCGGTATCACCTTGCCCTAAAATCATTAGTCTTCCAACGGTTGTTGTCGTACCGTCGTTTACAACAGCATCAGGCTGCGTGAATGCTGAGCACGGAGTCGTGTTTGACGCTGGTCTGCTGTTCCTCGCTGGCGCCATTCGGCCACTTCCAGCTGGCTGTGGTCATGATGTTGTGAACGAAGCAGACCTGAAGCTGCAGAACGCGGCAGCCGTGACCGCAACCGGGCCTCCTCAAGCCGAGCTGCACAGTACTGAACTGAGATTGGGCGAGAGCCCCATTATGTGGGTTGTGCGGGGGGGGGGCAGGCAGGCGCTGGTGTTAGCTGCATCCAGTCCTCACCCCCCGAGAATCCCCGAGGCAGCGGCGACAGCCCAATTAGGTGGGTAGTGTGGGGCAAGTTCAAGTGGCGTCCAAGTGTTGCGTTTTTTTTGCTGCAGGGTGGGTGGTTTGCTCTGGCGGCCCATATTGCATCGGCCCAGAGAGGGTGGAGGGCCTGTTCAAGTGCCTGCAGGGGTGGGTGGTGGGGTGAGCTCGACTGTCGGGACGGAGCACGTGCGCTTGAGCGAATGTCGGTCAAGCGGCCACAGTCTGGCGCACATGTGTCCGCGCGCGATGTAGGTCAAGTGGCCGCAGCAGGTGACGTTGTTATGCCGGAAAAAATCCGGTTTTTTACCCATCACAGGCGTACCATCGGCATAATTACGAAATTGAAGAGACAAAAACCCGGCCCTATGCGTGGGTCGGGTTGTGTGCAAATTTTAGCGCAATCGGTGCAGTACTTTCGGAGATCATATATAACACAGAAAAAAACCCTTCCATTTTTATATATATAGATTGTTCAAACATTTAGGAGGTGTACCGAGTGCATCTCTTCGCATGAATGCCTGTATTATGCGAATATAGAATAACTTGACCTACTCTCTACGATAGAAGAGAAAGGAAGAACAAATTCATATATTGGGGCAGATTTTAACATGATAAAGAATGAATTGATGTTCATGTATTGGGAAATTTTGCTGAAGAGGAATCCAGAGGACGACTGGAGATCGTACAGGACGACTTCGCTGAACCCGACTCGTTACTGATGTACAGTACAGAGACCTCGTTGGACATTTAAAGAAGAAAAATAAAAAAATGGAAGTATTCAGGAAAACGGGGTCGCCAGAATAACTTGAGGAATTGTGTTGCAAAAGAAATTCGGCTGAAAAATTGATTCGTCAGGCAAGGAAGAGCGATGAATTCAGAATTGCCTAGTAGACTGAATAAAGGCTCAAGATCGTACTCCATTATATTAACAGTAGGCTGAAAAATAAGGGTCCGGTCGCAGTACTTAAGCATGCTAATGATATGGAAGCCGTTGAAAACGGCGAAAAAGCCGAACATATGCGTCGGTTTTGTGCATTAATAATTGCTAGGAAAGTGAGATTCGGGGTAGCAGTTCCAAAAATACTGTTATAACTGTCGGTCCCGTGCCCGAATCTATACTCTTTCAAGCATTTTTTGCGGAGGGAGTATTACAAACTCACAATTAAACAAAGTCTTTGGATCCGAACGATATATCAGCTGAGTTCTTGAGGAAATTGCCCAATGATTTTACCAGACCACTAACGTATACCCTCTACTCGTCATTGAATTAGGAAAACTGTTACGCGAATGGCAAACAGCGGGTATCTACCAATAAATTAGACTGGGACGCGAAGTAACGTCAACACTTACCGATCCATTAGTCTGAACTGTAAAGAATGTAGAATATAGGGGACCTTAATTAAGAAGGTGTCAGTGGGGTTCCTGAAGAAGAACCACTTATTCTCAGGACTCTAGTTCTTTTATATCTGACGTCCGTGGATAAAGAAAGCGTTGGGAGTGCTAACACTCCCAAAAACAAGAGCCAACCAATCACTTTAGTGCCGTCATCTTAATCAAGGCGCCTCTGCATTGGCTACTCCCCTCTTTCCGAAGGACATTGGGCTGAGCGTCGGCGAATCACAGTAGGGTGTAATAAATATGCGTCACGTTTCAGCTAGTCGTGACTTGTAGTGTTTTTCTAATACACTTCCCGTGGTCGGCCGTATTTTCTTTGTCTGCCGCTTTGGTATTGGAGACAAGGTTTGAGTGCGTATTCGCTCCGCGGGATTTCAAGTACCAGGCAAGTCATAACAGAAAGATTGTCAACATCAGAAATTAATCTAGGCGAGTACTACGAAATAGGAAAGGAGCTTGTCCACATGTCTTGTGAAACCAGATTAACTTAATTTAATTTGTTCCGTCTCATTTGCAGGTAGCTGTGCAGTGACTCTTTCGAACGTAGCAGATTTTTGGAAGCCGTAGTTTTACCCTAAACTTCGATATCTTCTTCCGAATAACTGGGATGGACCGTTTGCTTGGTTGTCCCACTAAGCTGAAGAGATTGGTCCATCCGGATGTCAGACGGAACATCTTCTCGCAGCGTACCACTGGAACACAAAACGGTCTACCTGACATTCTGGTTCTTTACGAAGCTGTTGAAACACTTAAATGCAAAGTAGATAATTGCTTGTCGAGATATTACTCTATGTAGGAGTACATTTGATTCAGTGGCGGTCGTTTGCGTCTGTCTCGCACATGCGGATAACTTCAAAATTTCCATAATAACTACCGTGAAACTGGATCTTTTGCTATTTTTGGGCATGAATAGGGGGCTCAGCAGCGAAGGCCTCAGTCCCCTAATAAAGTGACTTGAGCTACCTTAAACTTCGCAGTCCTACGACCTTCAAAAGCCCGGGCACTACAACTGTTGGATGTATGACCTTGACCTCGAGGATTGTTTAATCCAGGCAGTCGTGAAACGAAAGGCACCCTGTAGGAATGAAGTTTGCGGAACACCTTTTAACCCACCTCACACCAGAATGGCAAAAACAGTACATTAACTATCAGGTTAGTTTTGTGAACCATCTACAACTTTAGGTTCTGAAAGATATATTGTACACGGCACTTGAAGATTTTGAAACTCTTCCAAGTATGCTTCTTTGTATCGTAGTTTATGTCATTTCTTTTCAAGTCGTTAATGCTACTACTGTCCACGCCCATTTCAATGAATGCGACAATGAGTTCTTCGCTATATGTGACGTTCAGTTGGATAAAATAAATAATTTCTTCGAAGGTAATCTCGCATCAGTGCGGTCGACAATATTAATCTATCTTCTAGAAAAATTAACTGAAGCCAAAAGGAAGTTTGTGACCTTAAAACAGGAGCTTGAGAGGTGCTTTAACAGCCGTAGAGGGCGCGGGCTAGTGCTGAAATTTAAGTCATCTTCAAATCACCAACAATCGAAAAGTGTCGACAACACTAAGCGCTCGCGTCCCTCATTATCTTTTGAATTTGGAAGCCGGGCAACAAAGAGCCAGATTGGTTTGCGAAATGGGAAGATCAACGACATGGAAGGTCTGCTTCGCAGGAGGAATACGGTGCTTCAGAGAACATCGGATAAGTCAATAGGCAATCTGCTCGGCAAGGAACCGCCCTCGCCGATACCTAGTCTTCACAATTTAAAGCTCGCCTACAGTGAATACTATTTAAGTTTGGTTCTTCTTCAGAAATACCAGACACTAAATGGCACAGGATTTCGGAAAATTCTGAAAAAACACGATAAGGTAAGCTTGACACACTCGAATATTATCATTTACCTTGGTGTATTTGTTTGAAATCAGGCACAATCGAATGATAAACGTTTGCAAATTTAGCAACCGATTTTGTCGTAACTTCCACACTTTTCGAAGATTTTAGGAAACATTTGCCTTGATATTCCCCAACAGTGCTCTTTGACATTTTTCTATCATGATTCTCACGGAGATTCGTTGACAGACCCAAGGATTTAACTGGTCGTCTGAGGTTTCGATCATTTTCAGGCGGAAATTCTGACAATGTGGATAAAATCTGAGGTTGAGAACCATGACAATTTACAACTTGTGCCATATATTACAAATTACTACCTTCATGATTCGTTTACACTATTTGACGTTGGTTTACATTGTCACATTATCTTCTGAATTTATTTGACCTCAAAAAATTAAGCCTACTACTGTTTGTCGAACCCATATGGTTTTAATTGTAATTCTACGTATAACCCTGAGTAGCCCTTACCACATACTGACGAGGACCTACCCATAGGTATTATAGGATGGGCTTGGTTCGAATCCTCAGCTAACTTGTCTTCAGGGTGCGTTATTTTTATTACAGCGACCGATCTTTCACAATTGCCTTCTGTCGTTTATGTTTTTGTCCGTACTTTTAGATGGCGCGTGCAAAATGGTCAGCAGAGGTTGAGTTCCGCGTTAACTTATAAACACAGTTCGTAGTACTGTCGTACATTTCACTTCCTTCAATCTTCAAATGGAAATTAAAAATGCAGATCTATGAATAGAGTACATTGCAAAAAAGCACATCTTAGTCTAAGAAGGCGGGCAATTAGGAAATTTTTGTCATCTCGTACTGAATTCCTCTAACATCGGAATCCATCGGCAAACATTGCTGGAATTGGAAGAAAACGCTTACGCCACGCACCTTTACAGTGTGATACGTCCATGGTGATGCTTTATGTCATACGGCAATAAACACTAAGTTTTCTATAGGCACGTTGTCTATTCCGAATGGCATTCAAGGCATTTCGGGTGGTCTTCCGACAACTTCTTAATGTTCGGGATTATGATTGCTAAACGCTTCCTTCACTTAAGTAGAAGTACTTTGCACTATGTACATTCCAGTCAGGTAGAGCTTCGATTTCAAAAATGTGGCCGCAAAGACGATTGCACTTGACGGTGATGATGAGGGGTAGAATTGCGTAGATCCGTGGCTGACTGAAATATCGCTCCCATGGTCATCCTCTCGTTACTGATTGGAAAGCTGCACAGCTGAAATGGTGAGGTGGAGGCCTTAGATACCCATGGCTTCTTCAAGGAGCGCCATGCTACCGGACTATTTGTCTCTCAGCGTTTTTGAAGTTTCAGCGTAACTTGAAAGCCGGATGGTACTTGCGGACGATAATCTTGCGCAAGAAGCAAATGTTGGATTTTTTAACGGGGTTTTCAAAACCAGTAGAGAATCCGCTAACGTTGGTGTCCAAAAGAAAATACAGACTGTTGATTTCAATATCGAAGAGGGCGAGGCCAAGTACGGAAATCAAACATTCCTTACAAAGAAGGAAGGCCTCTGGGCATTTTTTCGTCTATAAACAATTTTGCACTGTTTTAGTTATAGAAGGGAGAGCGACGTTTGCGAAGCCTTAGAGATTACGACTGTAGACCGACCGGACGTCATTCTGGGATCATGGACTTTGTCAATCTCGTACCTGTTGCTCTTTTCTGGGCATATATCGTTTTCGAATGTGGCATGTCGCAATTACGTGATTTGGCTTTTCAGTAATCACCATTTTAGGATTGATTGCAAACGAGGAAAAATCTCTTTTAGATAATGAATTAATTTACAATCGAGATGATGTTGTGAGGGCATACAAGGCAGGCCACTGAGAATGGTATCGAAAAACCAGTTGTATCACTCGCTGACAGGTGGCCTTAATGCCAACGAGATTAGTGGAGTAGACAAACGTAGTCTTGCGACGGACCTCAAAACAAATCTCTATTTGCTTATAGCTATGGTGATGACCCAGGGTCTGACACGAGTGAATGGGCTGATTTTTAGTCCGAATGACTTACTGGCCGATATCTGCGTCCTTCTTATCCACCTTGTTCTCTGTAGCTTTTTGATGGGACCGCAGTCCTGAAATCAGCGCTCCTTCAGGCGGGAAATCATTGTCCTCGCAATCCGCCTGTTTCGAGTGTGCGCGAAAGGCTTTAAATTGGCACTGCCTCCTATATGTGCACATGTACACAAGTAATGCACAGAAAATTGTGCAGACCACATAGACCGGCTTCATCGAACAGTACTAAAGAGAAGTGTTTGATCAACGCTTTAACGTATAGTGCTTTCGATTAGGAGCACCTTCTACATCAAACCATAAATATGACTTAATTTGAAAAAAATATTTTTAAAACTATCTAGGATCCCAAAAGGTGAAACCAGCACTAAATACCGTAAACGATGCCTGCAGGTGTATGGTTCTTAGAGACTTCGGACAAAATGGAATAGTTGCGCATAGTGACTGCCAGAGGATCAAGTGCTTTCATTCGCCAGCCAAGTCAACCTCGAAATTGGTGAAATTCGGACGCCCTCCACTGGGCTGAGGTCACCAGGGCGACAGTATCCACACGGGAATTCCTGTCCACTCTGCCTCCTGTAGACCAACATTTCGACCTCTCTCCGACTTGGCTGTTATTCTCGATCGGCTCTAAAATTACTTATTATTCCGTCTTTTTCATGGCACTCTTGCTGTCTGTCAAAATCAGCTGCCTAAACGTTTGCCTAAATCACGGATCGGCAAATGGTTTGAGTTTTTCTTGGTTGAACCGAAGGAAATGCGATAGCTAGAACCCTTATTTTATTGATCTGACCTTTCGGATTCGCGTTCGAGAATACTGTTGCATTATCAGTTTATATCTGCCATACGTCCTAATTGGTGTCAGAAGCACTGACACCTATCTTGGAGTTGTCAGTTAAAAACACCCACCTTAACTGATTGCGCGTCTGATGGTGGATTCGAGCGTGAACAGGAAACTTCAAGCATATAAATTCCTCGCCTTCATAACTCTTTCCTGCAAGCTGCCTTTTCAGTTTTATCCCTAATTGTTCGATTCGTCCGCTCTTCGTAACACCGCTTTCTAGCCAACTGCAAGCAGAGCACAGGACAAACTCAATCGTTTTCCTGTGAGAACCGAAACGGATCAAATATGCGAAGTTGCGACCCCCATATCGTTTGAAGGGGAGCGGGTAACGATGTAATTGGTCTAAGGTTCAGACTTTGCCGCACTTCTGTTCTTCAAAATACCCTTACGAAAACTCTGCCTTCAGGAATATCTATCACTTTGGGAGTTTAAATTATGGACCACCGTTCCATCTTCAGCTGATGTGTCATCTCTTCGTCCAAGGCCATTGCCTTCGGGGAAAAAGTATATTGATTATTCACGATTGATTGCACGTTTGCGCGGATGACAGATGCTGTCCCTGAGCAGTATGCTTACGATGTAACTAAATGCACGCGCCTCGGCTGGAAATACCACTGCCATAACCTTTCCATTGCTCGCAAGGACAACCGTCTAAAACTCCTTTGTGTTTTCTTGCATGCAGCTCTTCCAACGAGTTAATGGACTTCAATGGTACAATCAGGTGGTGTTAGCGGCCCCCTTTTACGTGGACAAAACAGTTGATGACCTCATCGCGGCTATAGAGGTAAGCTTTCAGTAGTCGTACTCACACTGAAGGTGTCCTTTAGGCGACGGAGCCGATGACCAGCTTCCACTTATTCTTTTGAATGCACGATTAAGCACGGAAGTATGGGCTCCCGGGTATTACGGGTAGTCTCGCCCTAAATTCCAGGTTTAAGGTTGGTGCATGAACCAGAAGGGTTAGGATTAAAGTTAGGACACAGGATGAGGTTTGAGGTGAAATCTAGGGCGAAGACACATGCAGTACAGGGGGTCCATATTCTCGTGTTCTTAATCCATGAAATCGCCTCTTTTTCTTCTTCTTTCGGGGATGATGGCGAGCTCTGGGGATGATGATTTATTCATCTGACGTTTCACACTCATACTGGAGCGCATCATCGGAGAAAGGAAATCTGAGAAACTGCACGATTTGAATATATGCATATGTCGTAGATCAGAGGTGGTATGCATTCCGAGCCGATATAATGAAAAAAGGAAGATTTTCTTCGGAAAAATCGGGTTGTACTCGAGTACAACTCGATTTTCCCGAAGAACCTCTTGCATTTTTCATATATACATAATTATCGATGTAGCTTAGGATGGCAAATAAAATCAGTTCTGTAAAGACAGAAGACAGTGAAAATACTGGGGGATGCAACTGTCGGTAATATAAACTTAGGCAGTAAATAGTTTGTCACTCCTGATAGATATAATTGCAAATTCAAACAATTATGTTATGCTGCCTTCGCATTCAGCGCCCCTTTTAGTGGTTCCTCCTTTAGGAGACTGCCATAGCTCTTGAGCAAACTTTAATAAACACATAATTCTGATTCTCCAGAACAACCAATCCCAAGCCTACATTGTCCAACAAACTGCTCGGATAAAAGGACGACGTGTGAGGCCCAGGTGGGGCACAGCAGTATGGAGCTCCCCCCCTGGTATTACGTGTGGCCTTATCCTAAATTCCAGGGATGACTAGGTTTAAGGTTCATGTTTGGGCCAGGAGGGGGCCACCTGTGATTCTGGGGGGTTCACATTCTCGTGTTCGGTCGGATGCAGTCTAAAGATAATGTCACATATAGTTGGTGGAAAGGGGTCAGGTTCGAGACCACTGCAATCGCTGGTAAATTTCCGTGTCGATCTCATTTTTGGCTGTATCCGCACACCATCGATGGAAGCACGCAACCTGTCAAGGTGGCCTCTAAACGGCACCAGCACCAGTAGACGCATGCTTGTCTCATAGGGTCACCGACAAAATTTTCTGGCTTAATCGGATTTACAGCTTATGATTCAGTTCAGTAGGATTCCGTGGGTGAAACCGTAGGATAAGTGTGGACCGAGTCAGGTTGACCTGTTGCGTCTTCTCGTAAAAGGCGGTTACTATGTACACCCGGATAGAAGAAATAAGTTAACGGTAAGGGGGAGGTGGATTCCACGTCACATGGGTTTTGTTTGCTTGAATTTGGCCGCATTTCCGCAGCAAAAAGTGGAAACAACTTCGCGGGTTGCAAGAATTAGCACCTGTTCCAGGTCCCAGAATGCGGATTTGATATATACTTCTCCAATTTAAATTGGAGAATTTAAGGAAGGCTGCCCTTATCCACCAATCAGATAAACTGTCCTGTTTCTGTCCTCTGTACTCCCTGGAATTCGAGCAGAATTTCCGAAAGCACCATCCCGTTTCCCCATCAAGGACTGGCTATCTACAGTCACTAGCAAAATATGCGTAACTTTACGGAACATCTGTAATCATTAGGAAACTAGTCCAATTGGACTGAAAAAAACTCCCAAATTATAAGGGATGGCCTTCAGTTGAATTAAAATAAGAAAGAAGTATTGGAAGTACTATTACGCTAGTCAGAAATAACAATTTTCTTAAGAAAATCGGTGGTGTTGAAATCTCAAATGGCAAAATGGCGAGGCCGAAGTCAGTTACAAACCTAACGCCAATTATGTTCATGCCCATGATGATAAATTTCTGACCCATAGGCATTTAAGGAAAACTCGGACGTAACCGTCATTTTGACCCTAAATCCAAATCATAGCCTGGGAATAACCCAATTAACGCCAATTCTAGTCGTTGCCAAAACCCTGACCGTGAGACAGAAACGGGCACATTTAGTGTTACTAACGGGCTATTTGAGGTCAAAATCCTCCTGCCGCATAATCCCCTTCGTGACCTACCGCCAGGTAGGCCATTGTGAAAAACACCCAACTGAGTAAGAAGGTAGGCTTTTGGCCAACCACCCAGGGAGGAGGTTACATACCTTGACCTTACCTCTCAAAAATCTGTGTCAGATCAAGGAACGCAATTCGTGGAGGCACGTAGAGCCTGTCCATTCAAAGGACCGAGTGAATAAAGCAGCATAAGTACAGCGATGTTTAAACAAGTCGCATTATGTAGTTTGCAGTCAAATATCTTCCAGGAATTAGTGTTCAATTCGATATGGAACTTAGGCAACTGCCTGATGTTATGTTTTCCTAAGAGGGCTCAAGCAAAACACGATGTGCCATTTTCCTGTTTCCATTCCCCAAGATGTGGTTTACATAAGTCAAAGAGAATTTTGCTTGATTTCGCAAACAGGAACGTCGCAGGAGCCAAAGTCTTTGTGGGGTCACACGGTAAGGGTTCGGTCAACTACCAAGAAATTAGAACAGAATTAGCAGGTGCAATAGTAAGCACACTACAGTAGATGTGCTAACTCGGAAAATTTTAACCGAAATTCTGAAATACGTTTTCGAATCGAAGAGTGTGCTTAAGTTGGGTTGTAATATTAATTTTCGGGCATCTTGATCCCAAGATAATTCAGTCACTTGGGGATGGCCACTTTTGAACGAAGTTCTGTCCGGCGGCCTGAAAGTCAACCCTCCGTGAGAAATGACTACTTAAGCAGTATGATTTTTTTCTCCCTGAATTTCGATATCCCTATAAATCCAAAAGTATTTCATAGAAAACATGCATTAAAATATCCATTGTTTTACGCACTTGGAAGAGAATTACGGTTGCTTTAAATTTTATGCTTGAAGACATGATGTAATTCGGTTTTAACAAACTTTCCCAATTCCCGAATAATTTTGAACCCGACATGCATTTAGGGTTTCCAAACTACAAGCTGTCTAATTTCTGTGTACGGAAAATCATACATTTCTACGCGCTATTAAGAGGAGACCATGTGGATTTCATAAAATCTAGCATTGGATATAATCCATATTGCAAACTTTACAAGCAACATTAACGAATGCAGAGACATTATGTTTTATGAACGGGTGTTTCACGGTCTTTAAGGATCTCATAATTAGAAACTATTTAAAAACCGAATTACACCCCCTCTTCGAGTAGAAAATTTAAACCAGACGTAATTTTCTACCAAACTATTAAAAGAATGAGTAATTGTATACGCGTTTCCTATGAAATATATTTGAATTTATAAAGAAATCGGAAGTTGGTGAGAAAACGTCATACTACTTAAGCATTCATTTTTAACTATGTGTAATTCTCTGGGACGACCTGAAATAAATCCATCCAAAAGCCGCATCCAAAATTAACTGAATTATCTTGGGATTATGTTGCACGATTATTAGTATTACAACACCACTTAAGTAATCTTTTTGTGCCGAAAACGCATTTCATGTTTTTTTGGCATATTTTATATACTTCATGTATACATATACTTTATATATATGCTTCGATATATTTTCATTTAGTAAAGTTATTTTGCAGTTTTTGGCGACGGTGTCACTTGAGTTTCAGGTTGTCCTTGAATACACTATGGCTTCCTGTATTCTCAATCGACTGTCAGAAAAGATATATTCAGTAGTTTGTGGCTATTACAAATCTATCAGTCTTGAAAGCATTTACAGAAGTAGTGCGTTCGCGTGCGTTATTTCCTATGCAGTTAACGGTTTGGGTCTTATCTATAGACACAACCAAACACGAAACCTAGCTGTCGGAGAAAATGGACGTTCACTGCGAAGGCTGCTGGTGAATATTCCCATGACAAGTTGAAGAACCCATAATGAGTCACCTCTTTAATTAATTCTTTACTAGGACATTTTACAGACGATTCTTCACGTACCCCATTTTTTTTCTCAAGCCGATTTCAAGGGCAAATAGAAACGTTAGTCCTGCTTGTTTACTTATCTAAAACACGATGATTTTTTTTTCGATTATGGACACAAAACACATCTCCCTTGGTATTTGAGTCAATTTTGCCGTCGTTGCTCACTTTAGGCCCCATTGTATGCTTATGAATACCCCACAGAGTAGCCATATCAATACTAGTATAATACTCAAACTGCTAATGCTCTTCCCATCGCTTTGCTGAATTACGTATTAGCAGCAACTAAATTGCACAAAAGCCCTCCTAAATCCCTTCATGCGAATTCGTGAATAAAACGCTTAAAAGGGCTTTTCTACACTGTTTGTATCAAACTATCCTCTAAGAATTAGTGTACTATTAACCATGGTGGTTGATAATGTGTCCTAAAATAAGGTTACGGGAATCGATACGACTTTTCGCCCTTGAATCGGCTGAAACGCGGTTGAATGGGAGAACGAGCAGTTCGCTTGATTTTGCAGATGGGGGCGTCAAGGGAATATAAGTTTTCATAAGGTCACGGGCGAAAGGGCCGGCCAGCGCCCGCAATAAAAGCGCACTACTGTGTATGCATGGTCTGAAACAGTTACTAACCTATGTGGTTGCCTAAACGCTAGGCAATAATTATCTCCGTCCAGGTTTTTAAACTTAGGTAAGATTACTTCAAAAACATGTACTGCTTGAGGGAAAAGAGTTTTTGAGGGCGCTAGACTAATGAAGGAAATGCACAATATTATTGTCTCTTTCAACAGATTTCGGCCATCACGTTTATTGAATTGCGTTACCTACTGTCTTGCTGGCAGCCTTCTGTTAATTTTGGACTCCGGCATTCTTCCATACTGTTCTCGCCTTGGACAACGAAATCAGTAGTATGCAAGGCACCCATACGGATATTGCATTACGCCTCACCGACAGTCGGGATAAGCATATACGCTTCCACTGTCTCTACCCGAGGGAGAATATTTTGGTCGCCTAAACTGTATCACCTTGTCCAGTTCGCAGGTGTGCAATATCGAATTTGGCATACGCAATCGTCAATGGTGCCGACCCTACTTGTGCATGGCAGTGAATATCTGGGTTTGAAACGGCTGTCTTCAACCAATACTGCCTCCTGAGTGGGAATTCTCGTTGCTCGGTGCTTACGGCGAGGGGGACTTAACTTTTTCCGAAGAATGCTACTGAGGGACCACTTGGTAGCTGCTCTGGAGTTTGTATTCCATCACGGAGTAGACGCTATTTTACCGGACAGTTTGTCTTCATTTCCAGAACGAACAAGAAGGCTCGCTAGGGGGAAGTAGTTCAGGAAACGGGCACTCGTGCGTTGGAGTGCGAATTGTATTTGTATGCCGTTTGCTGATTCGCACTCGAGCCCTTCGTCAGGGAGCAGTAACAGATCAAGGTGGCAAGCACACAAAGGATGCAGTCTCTGCGCAAGCACACACCTGCTAAATTTAGCAACTTTCGCATTCCTCGCAGATGCTCCTACCTGGCGCGATGCCTACTCGACCCCCCTCCCCTGGGTCGTTAATGGTCGCGATTTCACCCCCGGTGTTGGCGATAGGCCATACAGTTACTCAGTAACTGGAAACTGTGTTCACATACATGCCCCCCGCGTGACTACTTACTCCGCCGTTTAATAGAGAGTCATGGAGAGCAGTGCGCTTGTGGATGGACTGAAAATCCCCTCCTACTGCAAGTGCCTTGATTTTACCATCGTGCTATCGCCCCTAGCTCTGTCACATCTATGGATGTTTTCTCCATTCCTTCCTAGTTTTCCAAACCCCGATGGACGCAGTTTCTTGAAACCGTAGCTTTTGATGAGAAGTAGGGGCGGTCGCTGGAACAAGAGCTTTATTCGCCTGGCGCCTCAGATTCTCGCTCGAACCCATCGTCAGAGGCAGTGGCAGATACGGGTGACTCGTGCACAGGAATTCGCGGTATTTGTGGGATGCGGTCGCCATGCTACTACGTACCTATGGCAATTAACCGCTTCATCAAGAAATGTTGTCCGCTGGTGCGCTAATTGCTTGATGGCCGGCGTGCAAGTTGTTAATTGCTGAAATCTCATCACCCGTCTTGGATGCTGGCGTGATGATTGCTCGGCCATCTGGCTCACCGGCCTGCGCGCTTCCTGAGTGGTTAATCACGTTGGCCAGACTATGCCTCAGCATGGAATATGGAATGCGGATGTCGTTGCACTTGTTGATAAACTGAGGTCCCGTGAAGCATGACTCAAGCAACTCGTGGCTCACGCGATTATTCCCTCCACGGGAACTTCGGCCACAACGAACTTGAACGTGTGGCCGGGTCTCGTCGAATGGGCCGCGACCTGGGAATTGGCGCAATTCCTCCGCACCGCTGCCGCCTGTTCGGCGATTCACGTCCGGAGCAGTCTTCCGGTGTTTGGTGTTTCTAAAGTATTTAGTCTTTGTTTCTCTCGCTCTCGGATACAGTTGTCCTTATGTGTCCCGCAAGTCAGAGGAACTTGTGGTCGGAAAGGTAAACCAGCCATCGCGTTTACGCGCAAGAAGTCATTGAAGCCGTTTTGCTTGTAAAATACAGCGCACCTATTACACCGGTGGAAAGTAAATCGGATGTGATGAGTTGATCGGCCACGTCATCCCCATCTCTCTCACTCTCTCTCCTTCTATTGTACCACGTCCAGCCTCTGAGGGCTTCGCGAGTGAGAGCGGTAGAATTGCCGACTGCCTCAGTCCTCCCGGAACCCGACGGGATCCTGCCAGTTAGTTGTCAGCCGTCAAGGAACTCAGAAGACGAAGATGCGATTAGTGGAGCAAGAAATTTATTAGCTAGACGTTTTGGATTCTCACTCGAACCCATCATCAGAGACAGTCGCAGATAAAGGTAATGATGGCACAAGGCGTGCACTATTTATACGACGCGGCTGCCGTGGGACCATATGCGCACTGTAATTAACAGCTCTCGCGTAAAATCAAAGTGTTTAGGAAAGCGACAAATACGGCGCAAATACTGAATTTCAATAGCAACCACTTGATCAGTCACAAACGCAGTTGCGTATGGGCCCTATACCGGTGCGTTGAGACGCACTGCAATGAAATGGAAGACAAGGTTTCTGAATTACAATATCTTCGACGTGTACTGTGAGCCAATAGCTAGCCGCGCAACTTTGTCAACCATTGCATACGAAAACGACACCAGAGAACAAATCTAACCGGCCCCAAATTTCGGAGGGCTCTTCCGTACATGAAGAACGTCTCGGAAGCAGTCAGTCGTCTTCTCACTCCACTTGGAGTTGGGGTTGCGCACAGGCCGGAAGCAACCATCAGGCGCTAAGTCATGAGGCCGAAAGACCCACTGCTACGGGAGGAAACGTCTGAAGTCGTTTACCGGATCTGGTACAGTTGCGGACAAAGCAACTACGCCGGAGAAACTGGGAGACTGCTCCGTACGCGAATTGCCGAGCACGCAGTAGCAGTGAGACGGGGAGACGCTAGCTCTCATGTGGCGGCTCATTCGACAGGACCCAGCCATATTTTCGAGTTTCAAGAGGCCGAAATCCTTGCAAGGGGTGACAACCGCGTGAACCGCGAGCTGCTCGAGTCATGGTTCTCAGGCCCGCAATCCATCAACAAACCCAATGACCTCCCGTTACCGTATTCCGTCTTGAAGTTTTCCCTGGGCAGGGGAATCAGTCACGTGGGGAGGGTGGAGGCCAGCAATTATCCCAGTGACAGTGAGTCGATTTGCCGCGCAGTCGTCACACCAGCATCCAACACGGATGACGAAATAACGGCAATTAACTACAAGGACGCGGACTGACAAGCCACTTTCGCATCAATTACGACCCCAGCGATGATTGAGAGGGATGTTAATTACAGTGAGCATATAGTCCCACGGCAGCCACGTGCTATAAATAGTGCACTCCTTGTGCCACCAGTACCCTTATCTGCGGCCGCCTCCAGTGATGGGTTCGAGTGACAATCCGAAACATCAGGCCAATAAATTCCTTGTTCCAGTGATCACATCTTCGTCTTCTGAACTGCTACCTGGAACTCGCCTGTTCAGCAACCTCTCTCGCCTTCTTTTTTACCACGTCTCCGCTGATCTCTCTGAGGGCCTCGCGGGTGAGAGCGGTAGAATTGCCGGCCGTCTCAGCCCTCGCGGAATCCGACGGGATCCTGCCAGTTAGTTGTCAACCATCCAAGGAACTATTGTAACTTTGGCGTATCACTGTGAGGAAAGACAGTGCAAGATCGATCTTATTATGTACCAGACTCAATATTGAGTCGATGAAAATCGGGCTTGATGGCGGACCAGGCATTATGTCCCGTCTCCGGCGTGTTACACAGGAACTAGTCTACGCTCGAATACTTGCCTTACGGCAGAACGTCCAAGTCACTTTTTTCCATTCACGCTAAAGTGATGCTCCTTCTGGTCGACTTTATTTGCCAGATATCGGGCTGTGATTGGACGTAATTTAACCAATGAAATCCAACAGGGTGTGGTTTGTGGGTAAGACATCCATCTTCAGTCTGTCAACTTACGGGGTTGTAGCGGTGTACGATATGAGCAATAAGTATTTCACGGAAGTAAATATTACTTCAGACTCTGGTAAGGCCATTAAGCTAAATTCCTGTAGTAGGCACGGCCAGTTAGTAACGCTCGCAAGTACGAATTAGAAAACGGGGAGAGCAAGTGATTTTGCAGTGGCAACAAGGCCCCTTACCATATCGCGGGCGCCCAGCGCCCCACCAAAGTCAGACTGTTTGCTCCAGATGGAAGAGAAGGGTGAGACGAGAAGAGATCCGTTTGCCATACATGCCCATAAAAGAGGGATTGTCGTATTTTGTTCACACGGTCAGTGTCAACTTCGGGCCTTGCTTATGAACTTGTATCATAATTGGGTCGAGGGGGCACGAAGGGACCCTGAGTAAATTGCTGTAGTAGTGCCATGTCGGTAACAAGACCACCATTCTGTTGGCGTACCCGTTCATTTTCTTTCAGATCCAAAATGAGTCCAAGTAGGAGTACCAACTAGGACGGGGGAGGCTGAAGTGGCCGTTTCTGGCTTGCTAGTTATCATCAGTCGGCCAACAATATCCAACTCCACCTTTGGACCAGTGGTAGAGTTCTAGACTTAGCGCTCAATTATCAAGAATTCGGGTTCGAATCTCAGGTTCTTCGAACCTGGAGTTGGCTATGGCTTGCTAACGACGACTAATCAGCCGGAAATTACTACCCCAGTCTGCTTCACCCTTGTCACTTTGTGACTGTCTTCAGAACTTCTAAATGGGGCCTCAAGGTTTAACGGGACAAAAGCGTTCTACAGCCTGATCGATGAACGGCCACCCGCTAACTAAAATAAGTCTGTCCGGTACCTTCTTGGTACGGCTGCGATCATACCTGATCTAGCCGGCTCCAATGATGTCCCGAACTGTACCTGCCCACGCGTGACGATCGGCGGCAGCAGATCTGGACAATTCAACCCATTCTCTTCGCCAACGACGGAGAGGGAATACCGAAGGTCCAAGAACCACCTTCATGTCTTAACGAACTGTGTCGAGTCAGGTTTTGAGTTGCATCGCTCTTCGACGCCTCTTCGACTTTTTCCGAGTTGTCACCAGTAAAGCCGTCATTGAAGAAGAAGAAGAAGAAGAAGAAGACACGATCGCCGGGACAAGAGCTTTATCAGCCCGACGTTTCGGATTCCTGCTCGAATCCATCATCAGAGATAAAAGCAGATAAGGGTGGTTCAGGCATATGCGGCTGCAGTATTTATAGGATGCAGTAGCCATGCTACCGCATACCTATGAATATTCACGGCTCCCCGTCTTCATCAGGGATCGTTGCACCTGGCGTGATTGCCGACATTCGCGTCGTTAATTGCTGCAATTACTTCTTCAGGACTGCTTCCTGGGACTCGTCTCTTCGCTTCTATTGGCAAAGCCGTCATTCACGTCGCTAACAGAGTCACTTATCACTAACTTTGTGGATAAGTTGGTAGAGTTTTTGAGTGTCACCAACGTTCGAGACCTGTCCGATAGAGGTCACTATTTCAGCCTAGTATTGCTTCTGGTCATCCCTGGCCGACTTTGCTGTCATCTTCCGAAGTCAGCGGAAGGAATCATCTTTACGGGGACCTGGCTGAAGCCGTCTGAGCAGACAACTGCAGAGTTCTTCCGTTGCTTTAGCCACTGCGGCGTCGCTGCCCCAGAGACTGACTTTTTCAGTGACGACCACTGGTTACTGCCTTCTCCGTCGGCTCGATTCTTAAAGCAGGACCGGATTTCTCTGTTCGAGTCTTAATCATCTTGAAGTCCCATATGTGATTCCTTTCCTTTTTTGAAGTAATGTTGTAATACTCTGGATATGATCAATAATCAAACCTTGCACCGCACATGCTGGGCCGTAAGTATACTCAGGAGAAAACCTCAAAAAATGCTAAATTACAGTTTCGAACCGAAATATTTATTGTTTTCTAATAAGGCAGAGGGCGAGAGATTAGACTTTCGTCAGTATTTATCGTGATAGTAAGTACGTTTTACTTTCGAAATGTGATCGGACATTAGGTCGGGGCCAAGTAGCCGCTCTTCTAATGGGCAGTCCGCAGTATTAATGCGCTTGAAATCGCGTTTCCTGGCTGCCAGTTTTGTAGGCAAACCTTTGTGACCGCCTTAACTGCAGACTTGACGGGTTTTGGCGAACCCCATGTCTACCGTGGTTTTGCTCTAACTCGTCCAGATTTGCTCACCCAAGTGCTTAAAAACAAATCGGCCTCAGCTGGTTTACCGATCTGCTTGAGAGCTTCATCCGGATTGTGAAAATCCTTTGGCTCCGTACCTGTTCTTCTGCTCCTTTCAGACAATTTACATCCAGGATCTGGAGAAGGGCGATCGTCAGAAGGCGATGAAACGTCTTAGGGTCCCTCCTTTGGCGCACACAGTGAGTTGTCTTTTTTCGCAGGTTTCCCGCGGTTCCTCCTCCTCTTCTCCCAATTGCGGTTCTTTTTATGCACAAGGGAAATGATCTGATCTAACCTCCGGTCCTTTTGACTTAGTCCTGCCACCGGGCCCAAGAGGGTAGGGGAGGACGCAGTGCAGCGGGTGCTGTAAAAGTCACCGTCCCTGCGTATAGCATGCTGTGGGGCACACGGTGGACATCGTCGGAATCAACGGTCGAGCTTTCAAAACAACGAGTATAGAAGGAAGTCCGGTAAGATATGGTTTGGTAGCCCCACCTGATGGACACATTGATGTTGGAGTTAAGGGTTAGGGGTTAAATGATAGGGCTAGTGGTTGGGATTTAGGATAAGGGGTTATAGTTAGGAGTTAGTGCAACTATTTCTCAACCATTGAAAGTACAACCACACATTCCCAATAGCGTTTCTTTTGCACACAACTACTTGACCTCGTCGCCTGTGCGTTCCCCGGCTCCACCTGTGAAAACTCCTATTACCACCGGTCCCGACTGGGGTTTGTTTACTTCAGGTGGGGCTACCAAACCACATCCGACCATAAGTCCAGTGCTTAAGAGATCTGTGGCGGTCAAGGATGTGAGATCAACCCAAACCACACACAATAAGTTCGTCCCGTCTAATTTCAGAAGTCAGGGAGTCGGGAGAACCAGTTTATTCTGTGCACAGGGCAGGTTGCTGAGTTGTCTGGCTACTCGTGCGTCGGAGCAAAGCATCCGTTCGGGAGATCATAAGTCGCGATGCGTTGTGTTTACGCAGGTGTCAACGTACGTGTATTGGACGTCCGATTGGTTGGTTCAGGGTCAGTCGGGAGAGGCATGGGTCGTAAGAAACCAGGCCGCCCAACGCGCATGCGGCGGCGGAAGTTGGTGTGCGCAGCTGTGACTCAGTGTGGCCAAACGAGCGGCGCCCCAGCTTAGGCGCGAGGGGTCGCCGTGCGTTAGCGGTGTAGGTTAACGCGGTTCTCGGGGTCATCAACTGACAAAGAGGCGCCTAAAAAAGCGGCCAATGGCGCAGCTGCCACAGACTACTTGAATCCCTTGAAAAATTTGAAGCCCAGTCCGGAGTAGGTGGGCAAACTCATGAAATGTCAACCTAAATTCCGAAATGCGTTTTCGTTTTGTAAAGATTGATTAAGTAGAGTTGTAAAACAGATCATTGTGCAGCGTCATTCTATAATAATTTGATTACCTCACGATGCCGGCCATCGAAATAACTTCTTTCCGGCTGCAGGCAAAAGCTACACTCTGTAAAAATGACTACTTAAATAGCATGCATTTTCTCATTGATTTTCCGATGCCCTTAAAAACTCGATTTTATCTCATAGAAACCACGCATGAAAATATCCATTCTTCTGCTTATTCGGTAGGAAATTACGTCTTCTTTTAACTTTATACTCAAAGGAAGGGTATAATTCGGTTTACAAAAACTTCTCCAATTCCCGAATAATTTTGAACCCCGGCCTGCCGTGACACTTGCATCCAGGGTGTCCAAACTAGAAGCCGCATATTTTCCGCCTATGAAAACCATACATTCTCCACAGTATTAGAAGGAGACCACACGGGGTTCATAAAATTTATCGGTGCATTTCAGTCATATTGTAAACTTTACTAGCCACATTGGTAAATGGAGAGGCATGACGTTTTATGAACGGCCATTTCAGGGTATTAAAAAATCTCACAATTAGATACTTTTTTAAAACCAAATTATACCCTTCCATCAAGCATAAAATTGGAAGAAGACGTAATTTTATCCCAAAGGAGCAAGAAGAATGAATGATTTTATGCATGTTTTCCATGAAATATAATGGAGTGTTTAAAGACATCGAAAATCAATTAGAAGAATGCATGCTGCTTAAGTAGTCATTTTTTACAGAGTATAGCTTTCGCATGCAGTCGAAAAGAAATTCCCTAGAAAGCCGGCATCCTCAGATAACTGAATAATTACAGAATTATGCTGCACAATAATTAGTTTTACAACCCTACTTAATTAATCTTTTCAAAACAAGAACACGTTTCGGAATTTCGGTCGACATTTCATGAGTTAGCGCACCTACTGTATTTCCATACTTACTGTTAGCCACCTGTGAACTCGACAGGTTAGACCGCTAAGCTAACCAGCGAATCTGTCTTTCTGGAGTCCTTTACGTAATGGAAACCATGCAAATGTGACGGAAGTTGCCCATCTGAATTACTCCCAACTTCGAATACTTCTGCCGTTCTCCGAGGGTTTGTTGGTGTAAGCCCGGGTTTAGGGATCTTTTGTCTGCCTTCATCACACATCAAACAACGCCCTCGTCACTGTGCTGCGTACTCGTGTCAGTTGAGCTCAGGAATAGTCGGTCGCGCGCCCATCTACTCTGACTACAGGCTTACAGGAATGGGCATTTTCGTCCAACCACCAGCACTCGTTTGGAAATTGTGACGTTTAGCGAATCGTTTGGTAGGCCATTTGAACGTCGGCGTGTCTTCCCCGACTCGGGGATGCTTACATGGCACCAATGATAATAATAATAATAATACTAATAATAATGTCAACTATTCTTTGCTGTAATCTGGCGTAGTCTTCACAACCACTCCTCACACTGGGCGGGACGTCCCAGTAAACAGCAGCCCTAAATGGTAAGGACAGAATACACAACAAGTCTTTCAGAACACTGACATCTGATTGGAGCAGTGGTGTCGGCAACTTGAGGTAACCTGTGGACAGTGTCATCCGGGTTTTACGGGTGGGGCAAAACGCAAGACGCAGAGCAGGCAGAATGCACGAAAACACATAAAATAATTAAATTCCTGCCGAAAGTCTTGCCTTGCCCTGTTATCCGGCAACGGAAGTGAACACGGTAATTAAAACACGCAAACGAAAAGCAAATTAAAAAAAACTAACGGAATCTGAATTAACTGCCGCCGGTAAGTTTGCATTCAGTCAAGAGTTGAAGAAAAGGTAACGGCAGGGTCTAGGATCCTATGTAGCTGTCGCATGCAAAACGGTCCATAGGCTACCTCAAGTTATTTGGGGTCCTACATCCTACCGTTGTCTTAGTGCCGTACGACCAGCGCAACCGATGATGTCGCTACGGCCGTCACATCGCCCCGAATTACAGTTGGCTGGGGGGCATGTTTACTGGGGCTATTTTGTGGGGCTACATAATCACATCTGACCCATTTGGCTTCCGTTTTGCGTTTGAGGCTAAGATTAAGGTACAGGTTAATTGTTTCCGATTTTCGGGTTAGGGCTATGCCTTTAGGCCTAGGTTTTTGGGTTACGGTTAGGGTTTGAGCGAACGATTAGGTTTCAGTATTACGGTTGGGTTTTTCATTTACGGCCACGTCTAGGGGCAGCGGTTACGTTTACGATTTCGGTTAAGACTAGGGTTGCCGTTAGGGTTAACGGTTAAGGTTGAGGCTAGGGTTAAGGTTAGGACTGGGGTTAAGGTCGTCGTCCGCTTCCTCATTCCTGGCTCCCATCTGCGATCTAGCCGTCGCGGCAATAACTCTCTCCTGGGTTCAACGCGCTTTTCAGACCGGTGGACGGAGGAGAGGGAAGCATGAAGATGTCGGTGGAGCGCCTCAGCTGCATTTGAGAAGCAGACCCCTCCCCCCTCGGTGTCGCATAATCGATAATCTCCGCACTGTCGAGGTCCGTTTTCGCCCATATTATGTCCGTCGCCGAATGTCTAACTGAATTTTAGTCCACTTGGCTAGCACGCACTTGACGCAAGGACTTCCCGGCCGCGGAGCCGTTAATGTCTGTTTAAGTGCCGCCCGAGCTGGTGGCTGGGTGTATGCATCATTTATGTTTTTGCGTTTCTTCATTTTGTTTCGAGTATTCTCGGCCCCCAGTTTGCCTCTGCAGTCTAACGCCTACCGTTCTTGCCCTAGGCCGAGCCCAGATGCGTTTTCCGAGTCGGTTTATTTGCTGGAATCTTCCTGGTGGAAATCCTTGTGGCCATTGTTTCTGGTGAGTTCAAAAAAGCTACGCTGTCTGCTATCAGCACACCTTGATCACCTTGCAGTCCCATCAGATCGGAACTTTTCTTTTAAGATTTTACCTTCTGAGCTTAAACATAAATTTATTGTCAGTTACCGATCAGTCGTGTGTTTGGACCTGTGAGGACTCTTAGCGTACAGTGCAGAATAGAGTTCGTGCCCATGTGTCAAATAATATTGGAATACCGTTACCAAAAATAATTTTTGAGCCTCGGGGATTTCGTGTTGTAGAAATACCCATTACTTCCTTCTCGTTTTCTCCACGTTTTCTAAAGTAAGCTGTGATCTGCCATACCATGTATCAGATAATGACTTGTAACATGGACGTGACTTAATGGTAAGGCGTTTATCTCAAGGACTTGACTACCTAAGAGTCCATGTTGTAGCCACAAGTCACCCAGGCCATGGGTTGGAGTACGCGTGGCTGACGGCGGCTAATACGCCAGAAACGACTATTGCGGTCTTGCTCGCTTTCATCGGTACCTCACCCACTCGTTTCACCCCAACGACCGTCTTATTTGTCAAAATCGGAGATCTGGATGATGCAGTGGATTCCACTTCGTCTGTAAGCTGGTTGTTTCCACTCGGATTGGGACATTGCCGTGTGCACTAAAGACGAGTAGGATCCTGTTTCTGCGGGAAAATACTGGGCTAGAAGTTGCAGCAGACGCGATATTTGTAATGCACATGTACGCAGACCAAACTGTCGTGGAATTAGCTGCCTTCGCCTACTGACCTACAGTCAGATGATCTCAGTCGCGGTCCTAAGACCGCAGCCAGCTGCATGAATTCTACAACGCACTTTAAATCGCGCCAGGTGGTTGCTGTTAAACTGAGACAGAAACTTGTCCCGATGTGACCACATTCTTTGACTGGGCTAAGAATGGACCTTCGTAACTCCTCTTAGGGCTTTCTTATCCAGTCTGGTTACTTCCGTTTTTTGTTCACTCGGCTTCCGAGCAGTCAGCGCAGCAGGAGCTCGTCGGCTGGTCGTTACGTTCAGGCTAATACCTTGAAAAAATGTTCTCATTCACAGTCGTCTATGTGGAACAGCAGTCTTTCTCGTGGCCAGCATTCACCATCTTCCGGACGACCCTTCTGGTGACCTATTACACCTGTCTTCTCGCCGTAAACCTCTATGGATGGCAGTCATCGGGTGTCAACCATGTGCTAGTCTTCGAAATTGATCCGCGTTCCCACATGGATCACTTTCAAATGCTGGAGGTACGTCCGTGTTTTTCTAGACCTTCAATGCTCCTCATCAACTTTTTTCCGTTCTCCTGATCTTGTCTCGGCCTCTCCGCGTTCATCGCCTCCTCTGCCCATTCCTCTTCCGTGCTCACCAAACACACTGGGGCATCAGTCGCCTCTACTATTTTGCCTAATATAAATGAGTATAGTCTGTTGATGAGGGCTAGTAAGCCAGAATTGGCCATCCCTGTCTCTCTTGTCTTTTATCAATGCTCTTTTCTGCATAAACGCTGGTTGTTATACCACCAACAACGAGGGCGTTAGACTGAACCCCAAGACACGACTCGACGAGCACGTCGCGCAGCCTTCCACAACGACAACTTCTTTGTAGTTACTGTGGCCCTCGGAAAGTCCGAAGCTTCTAGAAAATTCTCGGCTGCACCAACAGATTCTTGAGAAAACTCCAAGCATTGCCTGATGAGGTTATTTTAGTCATTGCCATCGCCTTCGTCCTCCTCCTCCTCCTCCTCCTCCGTAATCCCCATCGCAGTCGCTGTAACTAGCGACCTTAGCGCTCGACCCTAACTCTCGGATGAAGTAAGCAGACCAAACTACCCACTTCGGCCAACTCAAGGGACACTGTTACGCCGTCAGCTAACACCTAAGTCTGCGATTCGGACGCATCATTCCGCCGGTTCTGAAGATGTGCAAGGCTAAGGTGAACTTTGAGAGATCGAAAAGAGTCTGAAAGTCCACTAGGAGTCTCAAAGAGGTGGTGATCAAGACTGTCACTGGTTTTCACCGTGTACAGGGTTGTTAGCTTCTACGCGACTTGGAAAGTTCAAATTTGCCTTGCTTAATTTTCGAGGAAATTAAGCAAGGCAAGTTGAAACTGGAGTTCATATACCAGAAAACACACGGGGAAAGCTGGGGGACCCACTGACGAGCCGAACCCCTCGCAGCTGCGTCAGGCAGCGGCACAAGATCGGCGAAACACGCGTGTCTAGGCTTTTAGCTAATACCTGTGTTGTTAGTACGGTAAATTATTGCACAAAGTTCAAATTGTCAAATATTTCCCGTGACTATATTTCTTGTCTACCATAAGATTGGATTCATTAACGCAGTTGGAGAGCATACAGTGGGTGACCAATCTCATGACATGTTCGCCAAAATTCTGAAATGCGTTTTCGATTGAGAAGGATTACTTGGGCGCGGTTGTAATACTGATTAAATTGCGACGTAATCCCATAATAGTTCGGACTCGGCCGGATGTCGGTTTTCAAATGCACGTCATTTCAATCTCTTGTAGAAGTCGTGCTCGGCAAAAGATGACTACTTAATTAACATGCGTCTTTCCCATTGATTTTCGACGGTCTTGCAAATTCGAATACATTTTATAAGAAACGTTAATAAAAGTATGCTTTCTTTCACTCGTTTGATAGGGAACCACCTCATCTTCATATTCTATACTCGAAGAAGCATTAAAATTTATGGGTTAAAAAGGTTTCCTAATTCCCGAATAATTTGGAGCCTGATTAGCCGTTGCACTAGCGCCTAGTGATTGCAGTCTACAAGCGTCATGCGTTCCGCGTAAAGAAAATCACATATTCTTCTATGTCTTTAAGAAGATTTCATATAAATTCCATAAAATTTTGCAATGGATGCGGACTATGTTGTACATTTCATGAAGCGCAGTGGTAAAAGGGACAGGTATAATGCAGTATGAATAGACTTTTTAAAAACTCATTGTACTGCTTCTTCATGTCTAAATTATGAAGATGAGGTGGTTCCCTATCAAACGAGTGAATGAAAGCATACTTTTGTTAACTTTTCTTATAAAATGTATTCGAATTTGCAAGGCCGTCGAAAATCAATGCGAAAGACGCATGCTAATTAAGTAGTCATCTTTTGCTGAGCGACACTTCTACAGGAGAGTGAAAAGACATGCATTTGAAAGCCGACATCCGGCCGAGCCCGAAGTATTATAAGATTACGTTGTGAGATACTCAATATTAAAACCGCGCCAAAGTAATCCTTCCCAATCGAAAACGCATTTCAGAATTTTGGCGAACATTTAATGAGATCGGCCACTCACTGTATTCACTGAATGTCGTGCGTCGCACACAACGATGATCGCCGCTGCCCAAGAAGCATTTGTCTTGGCCTCCTCCCTCGCCTAATGGCCATACATGATAGAGCCGTTTGAATATGTGCGTGTGCGGTGCGGTACGGCTGACTGCGTCTGCGCGTGCCACAACTCTGCCGGTCCCCCACTCCGCCTGAAGCAGAATTAAAATGAAAACGACCCTAGAAACCACATTAACAGGGGGCCATTAGACCCTGACCCTAAGTCAAAAAGACTGATTTGACAAGTGTGAAGGGCTCACCGGATCAGGGGAATTGTATGGTCGACGTTTCGGAGGGCTTGACCGGCCCTCCGTTATAAAAGCTTTTTGCGCGGAAAATCGACCAGAATTTTAAATAAACGACTGAATTATTTGGCCTTGGACTGACCGATTTTCTTCTTATGCTGCCCTGGCCTTTGTTTGTGAATGTTGGCAGCCTCTTGCATTGTGTGTCGTCACCTCAATGGGGGGTCGGTTGCATCTATACTCTCCTTTCGGGTGAATTAGTCGACGGGTCGTGTTTCTTTGGTATTTTTAAGCTCCGTACGACCGTCTTATCCTGTTCATGGCGTATGTACTGCCGTAGGACTATAGGCCGCAGTAAGGTCCAGATGCCTGTTGATGTAGTTGGCATCTGAGTACCAAGCCCCAAGTGTGAGACCCAATGTCCTTGCGGTGCCCCTGCCTAAGACGGCTGCTCCTTGAAAATCAAAACTGTGCCAGTTTCTTCGATGTGAGTCGCAAGCTGTGTGTTTGGGTCTGGTCTCCGAGTTGCCAGTTTGTGCTCATGTAGGCGGGTCTGCAATTTCCGTCCGGCTTCCCCAACGTATTTGAAGGCTCCAGCGTTACAACATATTTGATAGACAACTGCTGAGGCCTCAGTGGGTGGCAGTGTGTCTCTGAGTTGCATCAAACAACGACGAATTGTCGCCTGGGGTCGATGTACAATGTCTACTCTGGCGGATTGTAGTGGTTGTTAAACCACCCCGGCGCCTCCTTTAATGTAAGGAATAGCTCTCCAGACTTCGGGTTATTGTTCTTATGGACGTCGTCTGGTCATCCGGCGCTTGCTTTGTTTGATAAAATAACACGGGTATCCATTGTCCCGAAATAGGTCATTAAGGTATTGTCGTTCAGCTCTTTTGTCGGCTGGTGTGTTGCGGTTTGTTTCAACTCTTTGGGCACAACTGCATTTGTGAGAAAGGAGATGGTTGCCAAATGTCCCACTTTCGAACTCAGACATTCAGCTCGCCGTACTTGTTCAGAGCACGCCAGACTTTTTTTATTAATGAAATCGCGTCGAGTTTTAGCCCACTCTCCCTTATCTCATCCACAGTGGCTGACGTAATAAGCCCATTGTCGCTGCCTTTCTTTTTATGGGTGATGTTTTGCTGATCGATTTTTGTATGGGCATACTACCGAGCATGCCAGTACGATATCCAAATGCATTTTCTACCTGCTGTTATATCGGTTGCCCCCTAGAGGGTATATAAAATGTGGACTAACGCTAATACTCGAGAGCAGAGAGTATTAAAATCCAACCACCTTCTAAATGATGACGTGCATTAAAAAAATCCACTTAGTTAGAGGGGAAGTAGGGAAATTTAATCCGCATACCTGTTTTCCGAGCTATTTTCCTATTGGATAGTTATTTTGCTGATTTTTTTTGCGCTACAGTTTGGTCTCCTGCTGGCCGACCTATGGGGTGCCTTCGTCATCATGTACATCTTCAGTCCCCACATCGGAGTACCGCAGTTCGCACCTCCCTTTGTCCTCGTTGTTCTCATGTTCGCCTACCTCCTCTCGCCGTTGCCCTTTCTGCACTACAAGGCACGGCGCTGGGTATTAAAGATATTTGTGAGTTCTCGTACTCCTTTTCTCGCTTCCGTCATCGCCACTGTCTTCTTCCCCATGCTGCGCCCCTTCCTCCTTCCAGTGGCCGTCCTGTGCTCTGCCTCAAGACTATCTTCAGTCGTATTTAAAATGCACTAAGTCAGTGTAGGCAAAGGATGGTTTCCGGAAAATCCCTACGATTCCTGTACAGTATATGCGCCAACTGCCTGGTTGGGGTACCCGGTTAGTCATGGTTTTAGAAATGTCGTTTTTTCCTTTGAGTTCTTAAATGCACAGGCATCGGCCTGCTAGTAACCGCGAGGACAGCTTGGCTTTAGTCCATCACTACGTGCAACGGAAGAGCAACATTGTCACCTTTGAAAAAGTGAAGGTCGTTGGTCGAGCGAATGGCACACTTACCGCACCGTTGACCCACGTTGCGCCTACCAGTCGCTGCGCACGATACTCAGATGAGTTTGAACAGGGCCGATAAGACAAGCGAGCAGTCAGGCGGGACCAAGAGCCAACGCCCGCGGATAGGAAGGAAGAAGCCAGTCGGGGGTCAAGTAACCGGCATAGAACACTGCCTAACTGACGCCTCCCCCCACCCCACAAGCTATTCGCACGAGCAGCACAACCGACTAGTACGCCGGGTGACGAAGGAGGAGGAGGGGCCAACAGACACGCTGACTTCGCTTCAACAACTACGATGGCCGCAGAGGGGACAAAGGTCACGCAACCCCACCAGCAGTCGGCCACTGTGAGGTCAAACGATCAGTAGCAAACCGTTAGGTCAATGTTCGGGCCTCGGGCACGGTTATGACGACGTGGCGAGGCCAAATAAATAAACACCAGCAGGATCAGTCACAGCACCACTCTAATGATAGGAGAGGGGAAGTTTGTGAAAAGTCACTACAAGTACAGCTCGGACCATGAACTCGCCTCCTCCGTCTTCACCAGAGGACGACGGACGCGTTGCATATGTGTGGGCATTTTAGTCGACGGCCTGATTACATGAGAAAGGGGAGGGGAGCGACATGGGTCGGGGGGAGAGAGCAGGAATCGATGCCCGCATGTTGGGAATGACGCGTGTGGGAGGGGGTGGGTGGCCAACTTTCGTGGCGCGCCGTCCATAAGGTGATCTTCAAGTCAAGGCGCCGTTCACAAGGTGCGTTTCGGCCAAAGGAGCCTTAAAGATCTTGCAATGACTTTTTGTGATCCGATGAGGGGTTGTCTGACTGAGGGCGCCCACCTCTGCTGATGCTCATATTTGCACACGTAGGAGCCTCCGTCGATCTAGGCGGAAGGTCCCCTGGACGCCCACCTCTCAGTCCTCCCTACCATCCCAACATAATTGGTTCTTTCAGCTACCTAATAGTATACCAGCCTGATGAGGATTTACTGAAAGTGGTCGTTCGCTGCCCTTCACAAGTTTCCTCACTTCCATTGCTGTTCTTTCCTTGTAGTGGCGGGTTCTTCGCGCTCCCTGTACGTATGTCAACTTCTCCGACTTCTTCATGGCAGATCAGCTGTACAGCTTCCCCTTCATCTTCCCCGATATGGCCTTCTTTCTGTGCTTCTACGGCTCCTACTTCGATTGGCCCTCCATGAATGTGAAACAGTCCCTCAAGAACGCCACGATTACACCGCCTGGCAAGAGTCCTTACTTTGGTGTGTTCAGGTGTATATTTCCTGCTTCGTATCTCTGCTGCTCAGTTTGGTTACAGTGAGAAACGTTCTCTGAGGGCCCTGGAGACAGAGTCCCCAGGCAGCGTAGTTACCTCCTCCCTCCCCAAGGCATCATTCCGCGGGAGTAGGCGCAAGTGGCTGGCGCAGCAGGAACCACGGAAGCCGTTTCTTAGAAGGCTGCCAACTGACGGGATAGCTCGGTCCTCGCAGAAGAGAGAGTCGGTCTGCAATGACTCCATACCAATGTGACCTCTATGACACTTCCACCCAGTTTGGATCCTATCCGGCTTCTATGGGAACCTCGTGCCTGGACAGGACGTGTGTGGCACGCGTAGACGGACTGTTTCGCTTTGCCAGCTACTGCATCCCAATCCGTTTCTGGGCTTATTCACTCTTTCACGACACAGGGCCCAGGCGGATGGGGGCGGAAAAGAGTGCGGCAGGTGCTGCGCAAGTCCACTATCATTGTAAACTAGTTCATGTACAAGTCACGCCCCTGCGTCCACCTTGTTTGAGGCACTCGGCGGACATCGTCGATTTTGGGTACGGTCAGCTCTTCAGCAGTCGCGCTGATTGTTTGTTTTATGCTGCTTCCTATAGCGCTTTGGCATAAGGACCTAGCTATGAGACAGCGGTGGCGAACGAACTTATTAGCTGGTTTTTTACGGTCGAATTTCCCATTACTGCCATCGGGTTTTACAGCGGGCCCAATCATAGCCTTCCGTTCAGCGACAACCTATTCATTTACCATTGACGAGGGCTATTCCACTATCTGCCATCTGTGTGCGCGCCGGATAGCCAGCGGCGCCGGTGGTCCAAGAACCACCTCCATGTCTTGACGAACTGTGTCGAGTCAGGTTTTGAGTTGACCCCCTTTTCGACGCCTCCAATGGGGTAGCAGTGCCGGATCGAGGGCAGTAACACTCAGCTCCTGAGGTGGACGACGAAGAAGAAGCCCAAACCACCTCAGTCGTCTTTCTTGGATGGCCTGGGTCATCTTTGCGATGCTGTCTCAGCGAGTGCGGACTGTCTCGTTTGAGCCGAAGTCGATGTACTTCACTCGAAGGATGGTCCTCAGGCAGTGGTGTTCAAATACTTCCAGTTTTCGCTCGTCCTCCACGTGCATTCACAACCATAAAGAAGGACAGACCGGACAGAGGCACAGTGCACACAAATCTTAGTGGCGATGGAGAGGTCGCATAGGGTACATGGGCATTTTTTGAGGCTTGAGAAAACCCAGCGGGCAGCATCAATTCGGCAGCAGCCTCGCCCCGACGTATTTAAAACTGTCCACCTCTTCAAGTTGACAACCATCAATCGCGAGAGGTGCCGTCTCCTAGTCAGGGATGCAGCTTTTATGGATAAACCGACCGATTTAGCGACCTCTTTCACCCGTGACACCGCAGACTGCAGATCGCCAAAACTTGCAGCAAGTAAGGCAATATCACCGGCATAGTCGAGGTCAGTCAGTCGGTGTCCGGGTGCAAATTCAACACCTTCACCTTCGTGTAGAGCCCTCCCTAGAATCCAGTCAATAACACAGTTGAACAGCATGGGCGACAAGATGCAACCCTGTCGAACGCCAGACTGAAAACCGAATGGTTGGGAAAGATTGTTGCGGACCAGGACTCTCGCAGTAGTTGAGCGATAAGGGGCCTTGATCATGGCGATGATTTTTGGTGGCACACCATCTCTCTCCCCCCCCTCTCGCTCGTGTTCTCCGGACCCACTGCCGCATATCCTTAGGCGTGAAGGCATCAGTTTACGACATCGTCGCGGCTAACGATATCAGGTATGACCACAGCTATACGAAATACAGGCGGAGTGGACTGGCATGAACCTCGTGTTATCCATGATGCGGAGTTTAATTTCTTCTGTGACCGCGTCAATTTAAGCATAATCAGACAGGCATGCATGCAAACTGGCGAGGCGCTTTAAAAGCCTGGATTAGTCAAAGCGCCGCCGTGGGTAGACAGCCGGATTCCTGAGGCCGGGAACTCACCTCTGTAGGTTTCTGCGGGCATGCTTTTCTTGCAGTAAGCGTGTCAGACAGGTGGAAAATCTCGCCTGCCTGAGTGGAGAAGCTAGCGCATTTGAGGCAGTCCTAGGGTGGAACAGACTACCCTCTCAGTTACTCTGTCCCATCTCATCTCAAGCCGTCTTGTGTGGGAGCATGACTGCCTTCGGTACGGTCGGTGAAGAATAAGTGTCAGCACAAAACGCCTCTGAAGTTGTCTTGGACGAAAGAAAAAGATTCTCTGTGTGACTTTGTAGTAAAAAACTTCTAACATCGTCTCAGGCCAATTACAACAGTTGCGTTTGTTAAGGTGTTTCATGAGCGAAATTCTCAAATTTCGATTTTTGCTCCGAAACCGCAGTATTCGCTGGGACACGAGAATAGGCACCCCCTTCGTATAGGTAACCCTGCGCAAAATTCCAGGGAGTTGGGGTTAGTGTCAGGGTTAGGACATGGGAATAGGTACTCCTCGTGAAATCTAGCACCGGTCCAACGTATTACGGGAGGTTCCTACTTGAGTGTCCTCAAAATGCCAATTGTAAAGTAGGCATACCTTTAGTTGAAATACGAACACCTCCTACGGAAGGCGTTGAAGACTAATGGGCTAGCAGCACGCGTTTGGCTTCGATGAATTCTTGTCAGACCAGTGCGTTTGGTGACTGCGAAGTTAGTTAAAACATGTGCGTAATTATAGAAGTCTGGCTTCACACAACTGGGAAGCTTGGAGGAGTAGAAAGGACGAACAATACTATCTGGCCACATAAAAATGGGTAACATGGGTGGGGCGAGGAGGCAAGGGAAGTGCGGGAAATTGCATGCAATTATAAGGTTAATTGAGCATTGGCCGTGGTAGATGGGAAACTTGCTCTGAATTCTTCAGTGCGCACAAGACCGTCTCTGGTTTCGACCGTTTCTGCTGTTGCTAGTACATGTCGTCCCAGTAGCTTTGGGAGGGAGGATAGGTTGTGCAACATCACTTGGTTACACATGTATAGGTGACTACTATATTTGTTTTAGAAGGCCTTGCTTTGTTTATTAACCCATATCTTCAGGAAGTCTCCCTTTACGTGGTATCTTAAATTTTGATATAACCGCACGCACCAAGTTTTTTTTCAGTATGACTTTCTTTAGTGATAAATTATTTGGAATTGTGTTCTTGCCCCTCCTCTCCGTAATTCCTTCGTCTTACCTTGATTTCCTAATTACCTCAATGTACCTGTATTGCCTTTCATTGCCGATTCCATACGCCGTGCCTTACCTATTTCTCCCGGAGGAGTAGTCAAACCTTTTTGTGATTTGCGAAAATTCCCATAGCAGTAATCGGAAGTGGTAATCAGAAGACGAGGGGGCGAGCATACGTAGCTTTCGATAAATTCTCGTCGGGCCAGTACATTTATATGGGAAGGGGGTAGATGTAAAAACACGTCAGTGATAGGATAAATCGATTCAAGTTCGCCTTAAACACAGGCTAGGTGTGGGAATGTGGGGCTGTCCGATTTATCTTATCACTGACGTTTTTTACCTTTACCTCCTTCCCATATAATTGTACTGGCCCGACGAGAATTTAAAGAAACCTTTTTGTGTCATGTCGGTACTCACCACACCATGCGTGCATCGCCGTCTGTGTTTTGGTTTGCCTCGGTTGGAGCACAAACACTCTGCTTTCTCGGCATCTCTGAACAGTTTCTATTGTCTAACGTGTACGCCTGACTTATTTATTTCTTTAAGAATATTTGTGCATAGTCGCTCTCATAAACAACAATAATAATACGGTTAGATTTAGTTGAGAGGAGGGGTTACACAATCTACCGTTGTCGTTTTGGGTACTTTGGTGGGAACTTGTAAATCACTCGGAGGGCTTTATTGATATCCATGAGATCCGTGGTCTCAACAATATGTGCAGTGATGGTAGCGCTTAGGCTTTAACCATGCTGGGAGACGTTCACTAACAGGTGCAAACATGATACCCTGCCACATAAGATCATGTAAGGAAGCAAAGGAGACGGTCTGAGCTGGACAATTACCCTTACCCTCCCCGTGTAGAAGAAGGCTGGTCGAGAATAGCGTCCAAACTTAAGGTGCTGAGAAGGTCAGTGAGGCGTTGAGGCGTCTTCCTGGGAGTTACTTCGTCGTCTCTCGACGATGTCTTTACACACGTGTTTTAATCGGCCTAACAACCATAGAGATGTGCAGGTCTGATGAAAATTTGCCGAAACCAAACGCACGCTCGTCAAATAGTATTCAAAATATTTCAACCGGGATCTATAGGGGAGGGCTTTTCTATCCTGCCTAGGCAATGTACTAGAACGTACATAAGTGCCGAAACTAAATGAAAAAATATGGAGCACTTAGGCATTGTGTCCCTGCTGGTAAGATCGATACAAATTGTCGCCAGGGTTCTCAGGGATGATCCTACAAGTCACGTCATAGGAAGTGACTTGAGGTTATGTTCCATGTGTATTCGCAAGTAGTAAAACGTGTTTTCATGTTTGTCACATATTTGGACACTTGAACCGACCATTCAAAAGTCGCGTAACTGTTTCAGGGGGTCTGTTCACATGCTTTCACAGTGGGCATTTCGCTCGCCCTTCATAAAGGCCATAAAGCGTTTCTTTATCTGGCTGCTTTTACGAAAATCCACTTCTATCGGGTAGTCGAGTATATATGTCCATTGCAGAGGCCAGCAGCCATTGGGAAACAGGCAGTTCTTGTAGACGCTGCATGATTCGTCATACTGACAGCACAGGTAGTAGCTAAACGCCCACATACGCGTGATTTGCCTATTTGCCGTCTCTGTATGACGCTCATCCGTTGGGTATATCAAATGAATTTCTTGTCTTTTCCCCCTCCACCGATGTGAACACAAGAGCACTTCGTTGAGGCAATAGTTGTTTCAAGGCGTATTTTGCGGTCACTGTGCGTACCCAGTTTTCCGGTTTGTGCGTAGGGCTATCAGCCGACAGTTGTAAATTTGGCATGTAACCGGCAATTCGGTGTCCTAGGGTAACAGCTGGGCTTTATATGGTATTATTAACAAATAATCGGGAATGAACAGACCTCAACAGTGGATGCCTGTACTCTGAAAAAAAAGCAGTTGGCCACATTTAACGCCCGACCCCGGACAGAAAAAAACTTGCGTTCGCTAGCGTGGGTCAAGCGCGTGTACAGGAAGGATTTAAAGTAACAAGGGGTCCTCACTCTGAAGGTCATATTCAACTTGCAGTTAAGTCAGATATAAGCTCGCAGAAGATTGTGGAGAATTTATAAACTTGCCCAACAAAAGATAGCACGCTGTGTCTGGCAGTACACGAAAGCTTGTCTGCAATTTGGCCCCATTGAATTAGCTGCATCGGCGTGTTCAGCAGGCCCTTAAGTACAGCACAGGTCCCGCACCGAAGACTTCTCAAAGCCACGGTGGTAACCGTTTGGGTATCAGTTAGAGGAATCTTAAAACCACAACTAACTCCGGAATTGTCCAGAGGCCAGTTCTGGCAAATCGTACTATATGTTTTGAACATTTTTGCTCTCCACGTCTTCCTCCTTCTCGCTCTCCCTGTTGTCGCCTTTCTCTTCTTCCTCCATCTCTCCCCGCAACATCCTCAGGTAATTCTTCTTATGCTGGGAGGCTATATAGGGACATTTTGGTAACCTTTTGGTAGAAAGCTGAATTTTAATTGTTTTTTCCTTTTATTTCACCTTATTCTACCCGCAGCACCAAAGACAACCTGTGATGGTCCACTCTTCGGTCTCACTCCCGTTTTACGCAGCCTTCCCGCCTGGTTTCGGTTTGCCCAATGCATCCGCCGATACCATGACCTAGCAGTGAAGGATCCTTCGCCGCATCTCTACAACGCGGCGAAATACTCCACCGTCTTCTTCGTCGCCACCTTCAGCACCTGGGCTGAGCTCAACCCTAGTACGTCGCGTCACCATCAATCTTTTTCCTCTATGCCACGCAGAGGCTGTTCAGCCAACCGGCACGCCCTCTGCAGGCGCAGCTTACTAGCAGGCCATCGAACTGAATCGGTCTCACTTCAGATGCTGCAGTCGCATGTGGCTACGATCAGGCGCCAGATCGTGCGACCTAAGGACTACCCTGCCATGCAGCAAGACATGACACCTTGGCTGTCGATTTCGATGTATTCCTTGCCAGACTAACTACGGCGGAGAGCAGGGCAGGCGCATGACTGAACACAAAAACGTAAGGAGAAGCCCGGACACGTCTGTCTTTGATGACGGGGAACTGTCACAACAGTTCAACCGTCGATTCCGGCGATGTCCACCGTGTGCTCCGCTGAAATTTAAAGCAGACATGGTGACTTGCGCGTGAAGTAGTTTATAGTGAACGTGGACTTTCGCAGCATCTACCTCACTCTCTCTTTTTCACTCTCCACGCGGACCCGGTGTCAAAACAGACCGGAGACGGGCGAGGGCGCAGGTGGACGGCGCGGTCGAGCTTCCACTTTGGCGTTCCACTCCACGCAGCCAGTGGCCAGATTTTTGACCAACAACAACACCCCAACAGGGGTCAGAAGGACGAGGATGATGACTGGGCGGCCATGCCCACCACCCAGCGGGAGCGCAAGAGCATATACCGGCAGGGAACCAGGTGTCAGGGGACTGCCAGTGCATCCCGGGCTGCGAGGGTCAGGGTTCGCCGATACTGGAATGGCACACGCTTTCAGACTTTTTGACTGGCGCGTTTGGCTGCACTGCATACAGTCTCAAGCGTTGGAGCTGTGGAGTAGATGCGAAGTCCGTTAACAGCGTGCGCACCAGTGCAACCGTGGGCGATAAGTTTACTGTAAAGCTCTCCCCTCCAGCTCCAGGTCAAGGCCGGTGCATCATGCGGGAGGAGGGACGGTCACGGTAATGACCCCCCCCCCACAGCCCCCCCCCTCGAGACCTGAAAATTGTCAACGCAGTCACGACGGCTGCTAGATGTAGTGGGACGCGGCGTTCTCCTACGCTGGCAGTTTTTCTGTTCTTGAAGAGTCGGGAGTTTTTGCCTACAGTGAATGATGATCGATCTCATGAAATGCCAGCTGAAATTTTGAAATGCTTTTACGATTACGAAGGAGTACTTACATGGGGTTGCAACGTTGATTATCAAGCGCCATTGACAGATAATATTTTGACTCCTCTGAATGTTGGCTTTTGAATGCACTTCTTTTCGGCCTCCTATAAATCCGCTCTCGGTAAGAAATGGCTACCTACGTAATATGCATTTTTCACACTTTATAGTAGACATGCACAAAGGCATGCTTTCCCCTACTCATTTAGTGGTAAATCACGTAGTCTTCATATGTTATATCTGAAGAAAGAGTGGCTTTCGGTTTTGAAGAAGTTTCTAATCACGAGATTTTTTAAGATTGTGCGATTTCTATTCATACAGCATGGTACCTGCCCGTTTATTAATGTTCCTCATAAAGTACACAATTGGGCCGCATATATCGCAAAATTTTACAAACTCTCCACGGTATCTTTTTAAAGACATAAAGGAATATATGAATTTCCTTACGCGGAAAGTGTACACCTTGTGGACTGTAGTCACCAAACGCTAATGCAACGGTTGATCTAACTCAAAATTATTCGGGAATTGGAAAACTTTCCCGAAGCCTACATATATCATTTCTTTGAGCATAACATGTGAAGAGGATGCGGTTTTCTACCAACCAGGTAAAAAAACATGTTGTGTGCTTGGTTTCTATAAACTATATTTTAAGTTATAGGATCATCAAAAAATCAGTGGAAAAATGTATACTACTTGAGTAGTCATTTTTACCAAGTGCGGTTTCTACAGGAGGTCGAGAGGAAATGCATTCAAAATCATACATCCTGGCAAGTCCGAAATATCACTGGATTATGTCGCTTTATGATCCATCTTACAGCCCCACCTAAGTAGTCCTTCCTAGTCGAAAACACATTTTAGAATTTCAGCTAACATTTTATGAGACCGGTCACTCTCTGTATGGTTCCTGGCGTCCTCTCTTCTTCTAACTTTGCACTATTTACGATAGTAGAGGCTCTTAGTAACCTTTGTAGCTTCGAGTCGAACTAACCCGCAGGAGGCAGACATGCCGATCGGTTGATTCTGCGTCCAAACCTGGTTAATCATGCGTGGACCAGGCTTGTGTGTTGCACACGTAGATTGGCTGCCTAGGCTCGCCAACCACTGCTCTCGATCCCACCTTCGATCGTTCTGACTTAGTCTTGCTACCGCACCCGGAAGGGGGGAGGCGAGAGCGCGGTAGGAGGAGTGCAAGTCTGCTATCTCTTTAATCTAACCGGCATACGAGTCACCGTCTCTGTGCCCGTCATGCTGTGGGGTTCGGGACTGACTTATATGGCCCCCTAAACAGGACATAATGAAGGTGGACTTACGCATAATTTCGCTTTCCTAGTCTTAACTCTATTCCTACTTTGAATCATAACTCTGGATTGAACACTATCCCCCGCCTTAACCCGACAGTTGGTCCTGACTTGCCGTTGACTTTAGATTTAGCCTTCAACCGAATCCTTAACCTAGCTCCAACCCTAACCTTAAACCATCCACATTGCAAGCGGTTCCTGTTCTCATGTCCTGTTTAGGGGGCCATTATAAGTCATTCCTGCCCGCAACTGTATCCGGACGAACATATGAAATTGATATAGAGGGCATGCCCTACTTAGATAGGACTACTCACTAGCAGACGGCCGCGTAGCAACAATCCCCAGACGATGTCCATACTTGGTCATTCCCGATGCTCTGCATGGAAGGGTGTTTGTAGATTTAGATGTACCACCAGCCCTCGGACAAAATATCCGCTCGCACATTTTCCGCGCTCTCCAGGGCAACAATGCTCCCCCTTTCTCTGTTGACTGGGCAACAGCCCTGCGTACTAAACAGCGTCGGAGATTTATTCAACGGAAGAAACTCCCACTAACGCGAAAGACTGCACTGACTCGTGATCTTGAGATCAAGTGGGGTTCGCGTGTGCGCGAAACCCCGCATATACTCTGTGTTGCCCTCTTGAATGACTGGAGTTCGTTCGTTTGCTCTGTTCTGGTACGAAGGACTTATGCATCCACCAGAGCCTTTTGAATAATCATAAGCCTATAAACGTTAAAGAGGTTCCTGCCAGAAACCAAGCGGACCTTGACGTTTCACTTTCATGGCGCAAAGAACCAGGCCTTGGTGTTACCTAGAACATGGCGATCACCTCAGCCCGTTGCGAGGAACGAAAGGCGAATTTGGCCCAAGAAACCAGGAGCCAGTCAACTCTACTACATATCCTAAAGCGAAAGGCGGATGTTATATCTTGTTCGCTTCTGTACTGTTTTATTTGCGTAAAAATAAATGAGGCGGGGGTCAGGGATGGTGGAGCAACTGTGGGATGTAGTCGAGCCCCTCAACTGGTCTCAAAAACGGAGCAGAAACTGCCACGTCCCGCAAGAGGGCCCCGCGGCTGTGGGACACATTCAGTGCAGTTCAGTTTATTTGAGGGAAATATGGGTGTTGAACCTTTGAACTCCCTATTTGTTACAAGGAAGCGAACTATATCAAAAAGTTGAAATGGGAACATCAAACAGCTACAGAGTGTCTTCAGATTGGCAAATTTCTCGAGCCAGACAGATAAACGAATTGTTCCAAGAGTTAAAAACATTAACGTTACTAAGTGTGCTGTACAGTAGTCTGTCTATGGATAGTTGGTGCTATCTCAGTTTCTGAGGGAGACGAATTAGATGCCAACACACATTCAGCAGACATTGGACAATAATAAAAAAACAAACGTTACTGAAATACAGGCAGTAATATAACAACATTAACAAACTGCTCCAACGAAATGCTGGGCGTTGTCGGTCAGGTGGCATTATGACGTTTGGTGGTAAACTGGCCCAACTTGCGCTTAAAAGCCTCGACGGAGGTGGACATGACGACATCCGTAGGCAGAGCATTCCAGGCCTCAATCACTCTTACATGATGGACATCGGAATGGTACTAAGCGACGCTGCAACCGTCGTGAATGCTGATCATGTATGACGTGCCCGGCCACGTTTACGTCGCAATAGCATCCCACCACAGGCAGCGATCTGCGGAAGCGGATCAGAGGAGCTGGATCCAGTCATTCGCCAACGACGAAGATAGGATACCGACGGTTAGGGAATCACATGCACCATGTGACGGGATCTGTTGGCCCAGGCTTTGGACCGACCTCGCGGACGTCTCCGCGGGTAGACAGAGGTGCCAAATTATGGACAGCTTCAAAACCCACACTTGAATAAGCGTCAGTGTTATCAACACGATTTTGGTGAACCTTTCCTTCTTCTTGTATGACTTGTTCTTGTACGGTCCGGGAGAATAGGTACTTTAGATATGTAGTCGAGCATTTTCTACCATTCTCACCCCTTCAACCCCTTGTAAGGATTGACACTGAGGCCTAAGAATTTTTACTTAACTAAAACAGCTCCTGAACTTGACTGTGAAGCCTTTTAAGAGAATTGCTGGCAAGTAGTTAGTTATACATATTAAGCCGAGTGGGATTACACAACCTGTCCTTACCCCCGTTGTCTTACCTAGATTTCCTAGTTAACCCAATGTATTTGAATCGCCTTTCGTTGTCGATTCCGTACGCCGTGGCCTACTTATTTATCCCAAAAGAGTAGTTAAACTTTTTCGCGCCACGTCGGTGCTCACCATACTATTCGTGCTGCAAGAATCGCCGGTCGCGCTTTAATTTACTCTGCCTCGGTCGGAACAAACACTCTGTTTCCTCTATATCTCTGAACGGTTTCTATTGTCGAACGCGTACGCCTGACTTACTTCTTTGGGAATACCTGTGCATAGTCCCCCTCATAAAAAATAATACAGTGGGGTTACACAGCCTATCCTTGCCGAATCGCGGAATGAGGGTCAGATGTGATCGGTCCGCGTCAGCTGAGGGACCAGTGCGTGGGTGAATGCCTAGCCAGGCGTCGAGATCACGCTCGGCGGCGGCCATGAACAGCCTGATCTTGCACCGAAAGCACGATGGACGCGGGGGAAAAGATTCGGGTTGGTGCTACACAATTGAAATTACACTCAGATCAGCATTCCCTGTCTCTGGGTACGATTATTCTCGTCGCTTCCGAGAGACGCGCGTAAAAAGTTATCGGTGTCTGCATTTTACAAAAACCTTACTGGAGATGTAGGAGTCCTCTAGTCGCGTTCAGTAAAGTCGATAATTGGCGCTACTGTTGCTCGCGGACGCGACAACCGAAGCACTGACTTCGCATTGCTTCAGAGTGAGGACGCGTCTTCTGATTTACTTGTTTGAATTTGGCGGACAAGCATCAGTAATGTAAAATTTTAGTAAAACTATTATCCGTCTGCCGAAGTGTCGTTTCATAAGTCAGTCGGCTTACAAAATAAGGCGAGGATATTCCCTAGCTAGTGCGGTTCTTTCCGACGACTAATCACACGTAGGGCTCGGAAAAGAGGATGGGAGCAGTCGGCATCGGAAACGGTATTGGCTGTTGCGTGATAACAAAAGTCATAGCACGGGCCGGCTTGACTCGCGAACACGCGAGCACAAACAGTCTGTTCGGGGAGCTGAGCCCATTCTAAGGCCGTCACCAGGGCCGTCCGAGGGCTTCTTGAGGTGTGAACCCTGAACCACCATCTTAAAAGTGAGAATATTAATCGACCATCGATCTACCCTTGACTCGATACTGTCCTTCCGTCAAGTGACGAAACGCGTTTACGGTCAAGGCATACGTGACTGTAGGCGGCCGGTTGTGCTGTTCTCTCGACGACTTGGAATATGCGATTGGACATGAAGAATTTCGCAAATGCCATGAGCCATCCGGCTTCATTTTGCGTTCTTTTTTTACCTTAGCCTCAGTTCGGCAGACAATTTTGGGTCTGCGTCCACTGTCAGCCTAAGTACGCAGTCCAACCTTGCGCGCCATGGCCAAAGATGCTGACGCAGGTTCTAGAAGATGTCCGGAGACGTGCCACCAAACTGTAGTTTCTGCCTCCTCTTATTTACATCTTGACCTCGTTTTACCCCGTCGACTACTGGCGATTCTTTCATCCTACCATTGTGGTTGAGACCTAGGCGGTTGGTGTCATGAGACACAACCTTGACAATCATCGATTTAGACTTGTAGTTCACCTTAAAGAACGAGGCGCCTCCAAGCACGTGATTGCCCACCACCGTTCAAGTGTTACTGTCACTCTGTGTCGTGCTAACCCACTCGGAAACTCTTATCACTCTCACATGTGTTGGAAAGATATACAGCACTCTGGAAGTCAGCTATTTGGCATTTAATAAATCCTCAATGAAGTTAGCGCGGTAAACACCTGTGACTTCAAGCATACCGATATCTGTTATTCTTATTTCTGCCTCTGCTTGCGCCGTTTTGTCTAGATCCCTTCACAATCACCATGATGGTGATTTCCTCCATATTGAACGCTTCGTACACGTTCTCGTGGGACATCATCGTGGACTGGGGCCTGTTGGACTTCAAGGCCAAGGACAATCCTGGTCTGAGGGACGAACTGGTTTACCGGTTTCGCGCTTATTACTACTGTGCCATTTTCGAGGACATGATTATCCGTTTCTCCTGGACACTGACTGCTCTATTCCAGTATACCTACCCTGATGTGGTCGAGGTCGTGAGAACGGTTGTTTACTTCGCGGAAGTTTCAAGGTGCTTTCACTCTGCCATAATCACCCTCTCTCATACTTAGTCCTCGCTCGCTTCTTTCGAGGCACTAACAGTGTAAACTTCATTAGTAATTCCAGTAATTGCGAACGTAGTACTACTATTCGCCATAGCAGTAGTAGTGGTAGTAGTATTCGTAGTGGCAGTGTGGCATAGTAGTATATTTAGGCTAGTAGGCAATGACCTTGGCGACCTGATTGAAAACGGTACATACAACATTCATGTTAAACACATGTGTTACTAAAATGGTGCCAGTAACAGAAAATGTTTTTACATTGTGGAACCGCGAGGGTTACGGCAGGCGGTTCCCTTCCATGTATATTTGAGATCATGAAAGCAATGATATACAATCAGCGCAAAATGTAGTCATTTGTGTAGTTTACGGGATAACATTTAATCAAACGTGCAAGGATGCATTGCATACGGGTTGAAATCAGGAAATAAAGTTCATGACTGGCCGCAGATAGTCCTGCAGTCGACATTTATCAAAAATCAAACGAGCCAACTGTCTTTTGAATACAGCCATTGTATCAGATGTCACTATTTCACTTGGGAGTGAGTTCCGCGGTCGAACCACACGCTGACTGAATGAAAACTTCTGATGGTCTAGGCGTGTACGCTCCCGTTTGACTTTGTACGGATGAACGCACAGGTGACTCATGGTCGTGAGGTCAATGAAATCTTCAGATTTGACCGAACAATCATGCCCGCGGCTAATGTCCATAATAGGTCACACCTCACTCGTCTATAGGATAGGGGGAACAAGTTTAGCTGCATCCGTCTTTCTGGAAATGACAAAGTCCTGAGACCGTCCACCAATTTTGTGATCCGCCGTTGCGCCTGTTCTATGACATCATTGTCTTTCTTCATCCAGGACAGCCATGCCGGCATTTCGTATTCCAAATGAGGACGAGACAATTCTGAGTAGCCTGGGATTATGAGTCAACATTGTTGACGTACTTGCTTCCTATCAGTAGGCGTGCTTTTATTAAGTTACATATTTCAGGCGTGTCGGCCGCGCGGGTGTAATGTATTCGACCTCGCTTTGGGATACCTTGACTGCTGCTGTGTTGCCATTGCCATACCTCCCGCATATACTTACAGCTGCCAAATGGACGAAGGAAGGGCGGTTATGCGGGCGGTTATGCTGCTGTCATGTTATTGCTCACGTTCACATTCCCGCTCATCGGCCACTTAGCGCGCTTGCCACATTACTACGACTGGGTACTCCAGCTATGTTTGCTTGCTTTGGCGTAGAGGCTCTGTCAGGATGAATTTCTCCTTCACTTTAACCGCCCCGAGAACGAGGCGCTGCAAGACTGTCTATATTGGCTCATTGCATTGCACCCCCCACACGGAAATCTTTAGTAAAAGGCGAAAGACTTAACCTTTGCGAATTGCGATTCAACACGTTTTCCATTATCCTTCTAATTGCGAGCTGCTTCAGTCGTATTAACAGATCGCTAACCTTCACCCCCCTCCCCTTTTAAGAAACAGCCCTGTTGTATTCGA